CTCTCCGCCCCAGGTAGGTAAAGGCTCACTTGTTTTTTCCGGGTTGCTCTCTGTGTTTTCCTGGGCCCGGGGAAGATCCAGTGAGTGAGGCCGAGGACAGTCCTGCCTCCTTTGTAATTTTCCACTGGCCGAGCGGGAGGGAAGCCAAGGCCTAACTTTTCCCTGCAGTCTGCAAAACGCCCTTCCACAGAATGCTCCTGCGAGATGGAGAAGGATGTTTCTCCATCGGTTAATCGGATAAAAGTCAATCTCTGTGTGATGAGTGACCCGGCCTGCATTGTTCTGCAGGCCAGACCTTTACAGGGGGCAGCCACTGGGTCCTGATTTGCACACCCCACCCACACACACAGCTTTATTTCTCGACTTGAATTCATGTGTAAGGAGCTAGTCGGGGTAGAATCGAAGGCCGGGCTCTGGGAGCCTTGCACGGGGGCCTTTCAGCCATTTGCACCCAATTCTGCTAAAGCCTCTTTGGCCTCCTCTCCTCTCTGGATGACTGCATCCCTGAGCAATTTGATTGCCTGGTCATTCAAACAGAAGAGCGTTTCTTTAGCCAGAGACGGCCCCAGCCCTGACCTCTACGCGGTCAAGTTCCCTGCTTACAATAGCCAGTCGATGGGGTCTCCAAAGGGAGACTGTGTTTTAGACGGACCACTCACGTTCTGGTCTGTAGGATCCCCGAGACCACGTCCCCCCACCTCACTGAACATCTCCATTGAATTATCTGGAGCATATTTTAAATAACCTTGCCGAGGCTCATTCTCCACTAGACCGCGTTTCCCACCTGGTATGCTGTCGGCGACGTAGTGTTCTGGGGCATCTTGTTAGTGCGAGTCCCTGTATTTTTGTCTGCCAGGCCCCTGCCCGTCCCCCGTCCTTGCCTGGTACCCTGTGGCCCCAGGCTTCTCAAAGTGTGGCCCTCAAATGACCTGCTTCCGCAGCGACTGAAGCAATGGTTTTCAAGTACAGCTTCCCTGGCCACTTCAGGCCCGCAGAGTCGGGGGCCTTGGGGTGGGGCTCAGACAGTCAAATGCAGACTCAGGTGGAGACCCTGGGCCTCGCAGGTCTCTACCCCAGGCCTCCAGGGGATCCTCCTACGCCAAGTGCTTGCTCACCTCTTGTCTTCAAGGGCACCCGGTCTTGGGCTGGGGGACACGGTCTTGGTCACCTGTCCCTGGAGATCACTCCCTTCCCTTCCTTGGAATCCCTGTTCCTCCCACTCTCTGGGCTCCATGCACAGGGGCCCAAGGCCATCTGGTCTTCCGGGATCTTTCAGCCCCTACGGAAAGGCCATCCTGTCAGCACTCAGGAAAAGTAGCCTGAGAGAACACAAGATTTTTTTTTGCCAGGGACACTGGAAATTCCTGAGTAGTTAAGCAAAAATAGAGCTCCAGAGGACAGCACGTGACCTGGGTCATTAAGAAGAAATGGGAGGGGTTGGGATTTAGCTCTGTGGCAGAGTGCTCGCCTAGCATGCACAAGACCCTGAGTTCAGTCCTGGGCCCTAGGAAGATAGGAGGTTGTGGGGATAGGGCACCAGGCAGAAGAAGCAGCACAGACAAAGGCCTGGTGTTATGGCTCTGTGAGACCCATCTTGGGAGTCACCGGTCTTTCAGTGGGTTTGTCTTAATTTGTTTTCTGTTGCTATAACAGAATACCTGAGGCTGGGTGAGCTATAAAGGAAACAGGTTTTTTTCTTTGGCTCATGGTTCTGAAGGCTGGAAAGACTTCAGAGCAGCACATCTTGGAAGCTGTATGAAGACATGGGGGAAATGTGTGAAAGGGCAGGCGGACCCTGGCAGAGAAACTAAAGGGTGTAACTGATCCATTCCTGAGAGAACTAACCCAGTTTCATGAGAAAGACATTAATCTCTCTTAAAGTCCTTCCTCCCAACACAACTGCCCTGGGAGCCAAGTTCCAGCACGAGTCTTGGTGGAACAAACCACACCCAATCCCTGGCAGGGTTTCAAAGGGTGGCCCGCGGGCTGATCTCCAGGGGTCTGTGTGCCTGGCCGAGTCAGCCGCTTCTCATCCCGTGGGTCGCTCTTGGCAGCCGCCGTATCCGATACCACCTATTATTCACTTTATTTTTTTTTCTTTACCTAGACTCACATTTTGCGTATAAAAATTAATATCCAAAGAAAGTTCTTTAAGACTGCTAGGAAATAAACCCTGGGTCACTGGCTTGACAAGCAGGGCAGCCATCAAAAGAAATGCAACAAGTCAGCGTCTGAGTCTAAAATCGGCTCATCTGCCACGCGTGGAGGCTCGTGCCTGGATACCAGTGACTTGGGAGGCTGAGGAAGGAGAATTGCAAATTTGAGGCCAGCCTCAGCAACTTAAGGAGGTCCCTAAGCCACTTAGTGTGGGACCCTGTCTCAGAATTTAAACAGCAGGCAAACACAACCCGGGGGACGTGGCTCAGGGTAGGGCAGCCCTGGGCTCAGTACCTGAAAATAAGTAAGGAAACAAACTGAAAATGATAAAATAAAATGAGCTCAGTCAACGGCGGGGACGTGGCCATCTTGAGGAAGCTGCCGTGGGCAGTGATGTCCCTACCCCCACGTGCGTCAAGCAGGGAGGTGACGTGTGGTGCGTGCCTGTCTCAGGGAGATCGACCTCCTGACCTGGTGGAGGTGGGTCGGGCTGGTGGGCTGCGGCATCCTATGACTCTGTGCCCAGAGCCGGGGAGGAGCCAGAGGGTGCTGCGTGTGGGGAGAGGGGACCGCCGACTCTGGGCCCACCGAGCCTCCGGTGGGTGTGCAGTCTCTTTCCGTCTCCCCCGATCCCTCCGGGGTGACTTCTCTCAGGCTGACGCAGTCCCGTGGCTGCAGGCTCCAGGATCCCGTGGACCTGAGTCGGTAATCTCCCTCCACAGAGAGCTCTTGTCCCCAGGGAAAGTCCCAGGCTGACTGCCATAGGGCAGCGTGGGTCCCCTGGCCATCGGTGGACCATCGGTGGGCCATTGGTGGACCAGCCATGGCCAGCTCAAGCCTCAGCATCTTCTTCTTCTGGAAAACAGGTTCATGGACGACATTCACGCCACAGGGTTCTGTTGGGGATCCCCAAAGTGGGAAGTACGTTGGAAAACTGGGCGGGCATCCATTGCTGCTGGTGGCCCCTCGGAAGAGGTGGCTTGGAGGGCCAGCTAGACTGGGGGTGGGGGGTAAAGAGGTGCTGATGGAGGGGACAGGTGATCCCAAAAGGGATGGAATCAACCCCATGGGTGAACATGTCTTTAGCCAGAGTGGCTTCGGCTTTGACCGCTGAGTGGTCAAGGTCCTGGTTTGCGACTGCGGTTGCTCCAGTTTGGGCCTGGAGAACGCCTGGGACCATGCCATCCTGCCTCTCACTGTGACCAGTCAGGCAGGGAGGCAGGGAGGCCCTGGGAAGCGGAGAGGATTCCCAGGGAGGCCCGGGCAGCGGGAGCGGGGGAGAGTGGGCAGGTGTGGAGGAGAGAGCGGCTGACACAGGCCCAGGGTTCAGAGCCCGAGGGTCAGCAGAATGCCATTGATCTGCAGGAGGCTGGCTTGGGTGCAGGTGCCTGGGACAGAGGGACAAAGAAAAGGGGAGAGGGACAGCCGTTCCTGCAGATCCGCGAAGTCCCCTCTGGAAGTAACGACCAGAGGCCACTGCAGGAACGGCTGGGCGTCCTTCACGTGGCCAGAAAGGCCTCCCTCTGCATCCAAGCCATCCGCCACTCACTGGGGCCAGCTTGTCCCACTCTGCTCAGGACTGTCCTGGGTTTTGCCCTCAAGTCCGCCGTCCTGGGGACCCTTCACCCCTGGGCACCTTTCTTCTGGGGAAGTCATGGCCAGTTTAAAAATCCATCTTTGTTATGTTGACGTGGGGTCATTGGGTTTCCCTGATTGTATCGGGAATCACTGGACAGGGGCAGCCCAGTGTGGCCTTCCTCTCTGGTGGCCCAGCTCTGTGCCACCGTCCAGCAGCCTCGCTTGCCCTTGGGAAGGAGCGTGGAAGGGCTCTTGTGACGCGGATGGTTCTTGAACACGCGTCCTCTGCTGTGCTGCTCTCTCACGCTCGGCCCACACCCTTGTACTCAGGCAGGGTGACACCCGCCTGGGACAGCTGCTCTTCGTTCCCTTGTGCCAGCCGTGGGCCAGGGGCGCTGGATGGTTTGTAGCCCCTGGAAGGTGTGATCGCGGGGGCGGGCCTGGGGATCTGCACTCCCCACACTCCCTCCCATGAGGCTGGTGCCCTTGGTCAGGGGAGCAGACGCGGTGCCCCAGCTCCGTGGCCCTGGGCATGTGGCTTCGCTCTCAGAGCCTCAGTTCCCTGGTTTGGCTCCCCCCTGGCGGGATTGCTGCCAAGGCTGGGGTTCTCCAGGCCCCCCGGGGCAGGGGCTGGCTCAAAGTGGGGTGCACAGCTCAGCCGCCCTCCCTGTCCTGGGGGCTGGACGACAGGCCCTCCCTGCCCTCGGGGCTGGACGCCAGGCCCTCCCTGTCCTCAGGGCTGGACGCCAGGCTGCTCAGCTATGTATGGGATTTGGGTGAGGAATCTTTTGCTCTTGGAACCTCAGTTTCTGAGTCTGTGGAATGGCCCACCACCTCCCTGCTGCCCGCGGGTGGTCGGGAGGACAAGCCACACCATCAACGACCGCTGCGGAGCGGTGGCTGCTGATGAGGCGGTAGAGCCACAGTCACTAGCTGTCAGACTGGAACCCGCTCCACGGGGTTAGGGCCTCTGCTAGACAGGAGCCTCGTGTTGGAAACCCCAGGGATGAAATGGGCGGAAGGATGTGTAGGCTCCGCTGGTCCTCCACAGGAAGAGGTTTCCTCGGGTTCCTCTGTGTCCCTTCCAGGACAGCCCTTGCCAGAGCTGGATATTCCCCGAACGCTTGGGCGGGAGCGAGCCCAGCAACAGCACCTCCAGCGCCTGGCTGCAAAGCCCACGGCAGCCACAGAGCCAAGGACCTGGGCTTGCTGGGTCAATGTCAGGGACAGCCCGCTGGTCCCTGCCTGTGCCTCAGATGGCCCAGGCTCTGGAAGGACCGGTGTCCCAACCTCAGGGAGGAGCCCTCAAACTATCCCCAGTTTCTATGAGTTCAGAGAGGGTGAGTTACTTGTTTGAGGCTGCCCAGCAGGTGAGCAAGGGAAGTCATTTGATTACTTCCTGCCTTTTCTCCTGCTTAACACTCCCCCTCCATCACTGTCATCAGCTTGTGGGGGGCTTTCCTTGAGTGGGCCTCTGTCCCTCTGTCTGGGAGCCTTCGTAATATCCTAGTTCTCTGTCTGCAGGCTCCCCCAGAGTTGGGCTTAACTCACGGAGCTCTGGCTCACTGTCCCTGGTGTGGGACGGCCTCCTCTGGGTCTTTCTTGCACCTGTATGAACTGCGTGGGACGGGGCAGTTAATAACTGAGAGGAGGCTTCTCTCTCGCGTCTGGTAGTTGGTGCTGGCTGTTGGTTGGGTCCTCGGCACCGAAACACCTTTGTGGGTGCCACCGTGTGGAGTGGGTGACCTCTTAGCTGTGGTGGTGGCGGTGATGGGCGGGCGGAGGAGTCTGATTTGGAGATGGGCAGGCTGGGTAGCCCCCAGGGCTGGCCGTGTGGGGAGGGAGGGCGCAGGAGGGCTGTTAGAGGCTGAGGAATGACCCAGCGGAGGAGGCCACCAGGTGTCACAGCGCTGCCTCTCCTTGGTCCTCTAGAGGTTTGTGATCGTGCGGAAGGGACGATGAGCAGATTCAGGTGGGGCAGGAAGGGCTGGTGGCCGTCCCACGTCCCCCAGTGTCTCAGCTGCTGCATTTTCAGGGCCTGAGGTTGAGGTCCTACTGCAAACCAGGCTCACGCAGGGCTGTGGCGCGTGGCGGGCAAGCAGGGGAGGAGGCCCAGCCCCCGGGGCCACAGGCCAAGGGATGGGCCCATCAGGGAAGCTGGTCCCTATGAGCTGCAGAGGCCGGTGGATGCCGTGACCTTGGCCTTGGCTGGGTGTGGTGTGAGCACGTGACGGGGACTGTGCATGTGACGGGGGCTGTGGGACACGGCTGGGTTGCATTGGGCGTGTCTTGCTCCTAGGGCTTGTGGTGCTGAGTGTCACTGTCATCCTTGGCTTGCCCCTGACCCGGGTGTTCACCTTCCGCTGGAGGAAGGTCTCTGTCTGTTGACTTGAGCCACCTGCATGGTCTTCTAGTGGCAGGACCTGGGGCGGGACAGTCTCTGGCTCTTTCCAGCTGTGCGCGGTCCCTCAGCCTTTCCGCCTCTGTTTTCTCCAGCTCCAAGGTGCTTGTAGGAGAAGAAACCCCCCCCCCCGGCCCCCAGAGGCCACTGTCAGCGCAGTCCTTGCTGGAGCCACATTCTTATCCTGGTGGCTGACCCGTCCAGAACGTGGGCAGGCTGTCCTGTACCCAACAGGCGAGAGCCTGACGCGTGCCCCGCCCGAGTGGCTGAGGTCCCTAAGAGCCTGCACAGCTGTTGGTTTTCTTCTTAACCTGCTAAGTCCCACTGTCCCAGATGTGGGGACAAAAACTTAAACTGAGCAGCAGACAAGTACCCACTTACGGGAACTTCTGGAGAGAATTCCGTGTTTTCAGAGTTCCAGGCTTTTGAGAAAAGCTAACAGGGGCGGGATAGCGCACGTGATAAGACGTGGAACCTGGGCTCCAGGTGAGGCTGCCGGCCTGTTTAACGCACCTGGGTCCATCTCGTTGAGTTGGAAGCTGGGCTTAGCGGGCGAAGTGATTTTATTTTTGTTAATTGCGTTTTCCTTTCAGAGCTCAATCGATGGAATAGTTTCCATCTTCCCTTTATGAATTTCTATCTGGCAATAAGGAGAGGTGGCAAGTTTGTGTGTATTTCAGCCTCCTCAACGGTCTCTGTGTCTTGACCCACTGGACACACAGTTGTGCCTGGAGAGCCTCGGGGACGCTGAGGGGACGAAAGGCAGCCCGCCCTCAGGAGCCCTGCCTCCCCGTGACGGTGGCACATCCTCACAGCGCAGCCGCTCCCCTTCTTTTTCCTCCTTCATTTCTTCTTTGTGGGACCCGAGGCATGACTTGGTCACCTGCACTGAGGGCAGGAGACCGGGTCACTGTTTTGCTGCCAATAAATGAGGTCTTCTGCCAGGGCCCCCAGTTGTGAGGGCGTAGTGGACTCGGTCACCTCTGGGCTTCATCTGCAGGTTGTTCCCCGAGTGTCTGTGAGCTCTGTGTGCCATGCTCCACGGGAGGCCTGGGCCCCGAGACGGTGACCACATGAAGCCCCTGATGGGAGGCCCTGCGTGAGTCTGCAGTGGGCAGCCCCAAATGCATTTGGTCACAATCCCGAGGATGGGTGGGAGAGAGGGTGGCCTGGGTGTGCATCGGGGATTCTTTGGTATCACCTGATGCGGGCACCTGGGGGTCGAGAGACTAGCTCCCCAAAACCTGACCTCGAGACATCTCAAAAGGGCCAAGGTCACCCCCAAGAGAACTCTCTGGGACCCCGATCCGGGTTGTTGGTGTCTGGAGGTCTATTCCTCTGACTCTGCTGTCACCGCACTTGGCAGACATGCTCCCCGTCTTAGGTGGGGTACCTTGGGGGGGACGTGTCTCTCTTAGACTCGTCGCCTTCCTACCCTAGTGTCTAGAACAGATGAGTGTCCTGTGGAAAGCCACTCCTCGGTGGTCACCGCAGGGCGAAGGTGGCCTGGCTCCGTCTTGGCTTCATGGTGGGTTCCCGTTTATATCACGACATTCATTTTATGTTATGAATGAAGGCAAATTAGATAACATCTATTAAAACACCTGGGGAGAGAGCTTTTGGGGGAACAGAACTTTCATCTGGCCTTTGGAGAGGGTAGAGGGGCGCAGCACGGGGGTCTTGGAATGGGGTGCTGCAGTTGGGAGTCTGGGTGCTGAGTCGACTCAGTCTCCCCGAAGCAGTGGATCACTGAGATGGGAAGACAATGTCCGAACGGAGGTCGTTTGAAGCAAGAACATAGTCACTCACAGGCTTCAAATCCGTCCCGTGACACTGAGTCAGCAGCCTAGGACCTGCCTGCGAATCCCAGATTGGAGTGGTTTGGGACGGGTGGCCTGCTGTGACTGTGTGGCCGTGGGAAAGAGCCTTCCTCTCCTGTGGCACTGTTCCTGATGGAGCTGCTGTGAGGCTTAGAACAGTGCCCGGCACGGGGACAACCCTGTCACGTCAGCTCTTCAACATGGCTTCAAGATTCACTCCTGTCCAAGACAAGGCGGTCAGTCTGGCCAATAAGTCGAGGTCAAGTTCAGGGGCACAATCTGAAGCAGGTTACCGTAGCGGCATCTGGCGTTGGGCACCACTGGGGACTGTGCCTGGCGGTGGGGGCTGCTGGGTGGTTGTGCCACCGCCCACCAATCACAGCCCAGGAGTGAGGAGTGACTCTTCCCAGGGCAGAGAGGCAACATGTCCTGGAAGGACACCAGAAGCAGCTGCCACAGGCTGTCACCTTCTTCTGCTGTGATTCACCGTTGCCGTTTCCTGCCCAAAATGTCCCCAGGAAAGCGGCAAATGCTGACAAGGAAAGGTGATCCTCTCCCTCCTCTGCCCGTCTGTAAGGGAGGGTTGAAGTAGGCGTCCTGTCCGAGGGAGTCCTAGTAGGTACATTGGGAGCTGTCCATCACGGGAAGCGCAGGAGGCCTGGGGGGACAGTCATGTATCCTTCAGCCAATGTTCATGGGGCCGCAGGTGTGCCAAGTGCTGCATGTGGTCACGAGGATGACCCAGTGGAGAGGACCAGGGAGCTCACGAGGAAGGATTCCCCAGGGCAGGGAGCGCACCTGGCAGGGTGCACCTGGGCAAAGGGAGCCCGCTGTCCCCGGCCTGAATGTGCCTGGATGGCGTGGCGGGCTGTGAGCTGGAAGGGCAGGACAGGAAACCCGGGGATGGGGGAGCTCTGGACTTTGTCCCAGGCAGGGCACAGTCGGCAGGTCCGAGTGGAGACCCCGCAGGCTAAGCCGTCTGTAGTGAGCCCTGCTGGGGGCAGCTGAGGCGGGGAGCGAGAAGAGGCTGGACCAGGGCCCAGTCCCCTGCCCGGCCAGGCCGTGCTGGGAGCAGGGCTTGAGAACCCCCCGGGCTCAGTGGCAGGCCACTGTCAGGAAGGGAAGGGCTCAGGTGACGGTGACAAGGTGACCAGCTGTAGTGAGGAGGATGCTGTGATAGTGGAGGCCCGGAGTTCCAGAATTGTCGCCTCACCTTGGAGGTGCCATGGGTCAGCATCAGCTGGGGGTCGTGAGTAGAGGACAGAGGTCTGAGCTGCCCTAAGGGTGAGGGGGCAGGCACCGAAGCCACCAGAGACGAGTGGGGCCAGGATGGGGAGGGAGAGAAGCTGGGCAAGGACGGCACCAGGGGACTGAGATGGAACCAGAGGAGAGGAGAGAGGCCAGAAGCAGGGAGGCTGCTGAGGCCGGAAGAGCTCTGGGGACAGCCCAGGGCCCACCTCCCTCAGCTCCCCGGCTCCTCCCTCCCCCAGCCCAGCCCAGGCCACCAAGGAGCTGCTGAGGCAGAGGAATGAGGCGGGGGAGGCTGCACCCCGAGCCACACAGGGTGGCTCCAGTTGGGGCCACAGAGGCCACAGGTGACGTCACCTGGGGAGGTGCAGGAGGCCTGGGGAGACAGAGCCCACTGTGGGCCTGGAAGGTCCTGGATGTCCTCTGTCTTGGAAGGTGAGCTGCCCTCCCAGAACGGGGACAGCCTCAGCCAGAGGTAAGGGAGCAGGCATGGGGTGACCTGGGGCCATCGAGGCCCTTGGAGGACTGCAGGTCAGTGCCATCACAGGTGTGGGCACCGAGGAGGGGTCAGAGCAGAGCCCCTGGGAGCCCCTGGGAGCCGAGGCTGGGGGCGCCAGGTCGGGGCGGGCAGACCCCCATCAAATATTTCCTGAGCATTTGTCCATCCTCAGAGCTTGAGATGCAGCTGGGAAAGTAGACGTGCGGCCGATGCTTGGGCAGGAGCCATCAGGGGAGAGTGGACACGGCAGCCCTGGAGCTGGCAGCTGTGTGCTGAGAGGGACGTGCCGGGGGCCTGGTCACAGCCTGAGCGGAGGCCTGGAGGGGACAGGGAGCGGCAAGCTGGCTGGACCTGGGGAGGCCGCCCAGGTGGAAGGACAGCTGGGCTCAGCTGTCCCTAAGGGTGAGGGAGGCAGGCACCAAAGCCACCAGAGACCACCGGCTGGGTGAGGAGCAGCAGAGGCCAGCGTGGCCGCAGCCAGGCGGGAGGTGAGATGGAGGTGCTGGTCCCCCGCTGGCCAGGGGGTCGTTAGCCAGTGTGAAGGGGCGTGGGCAGCCACAGAGCCCAGGGGCATTGCCATCGGAAGTGCTCCCAGCAGAATACCCCTGGCTACTGTGTTGGGACTAGAGTGGGCGTTGGGGCGGAAGCAGGGACACCAGCTCAGTGACAGGGGAGAGGCCTCTGGGACCAGGCAGCACCAGAGAGGAGCCTGCTGCTCTTCTGATGGGTGGCGTCCCAGGAAGGGAACAGAGAGCATGGCCGGGGCCTCACGGATCCCGCCCAAGCCGTGACAGTGGCTGTTGCCCAGCATGGCCCCAGGGCAGGGGCGGTGATGAGGCAGGACACAGCCATCTGGTGTCACCTCCCAGCCAGCCAGTTGGAGCCTTCGCTCCGATCCCAGCCAGGCCTGAACTAGGCAGCCTGTGCGTGGTGCTGCGTAGTTAAAGGGGGAATGAACGCACCCCTGTGTGGGAGGTGGTGAACTTGTGTCACGCTAATGCTTCTGGGAGTGGCCGGGAGTGGGTGCCCTGTCTGCACTGCAGGACCCCAGGACAGGCGTCCCCAGAGTGGCCTCTCAGACCTCACTACCAGTGCCCAGGCCCTGGCCCAGACGGGAGTCCGTCTGACCATCAAGGGAGGTTTTTTCTGTGGGCAGGAGAAGGGATTTGGAGTGTCCCTAAGAATCGTGTGAGAGTGATCGATGAAGGAAGTCGAGGGGACACGTGAGGTTGAAATAACAACGAGGACACTCAGTGTGCCGGAAGCAGAACAGTCCCAGCCCGGCCGCCCTCTAGTTTCCCAGTCAAGGACCAGATGGAGCAGTGTCCCCGGGGAGACCCTGCAGGTGTTCAAGGGCTCACTCAGCCACTTGAGAGACACCTAGGGATGGACTCCGGGCCAGCGCTGCAGTCAGGGGGATCTGGGGCTATAGGGGTGACTCCAGGCCCCAAATGAAGTCTCTAAGAGGGGAGGCCCTGCGTGCTGGACAGAGGCCAGGGAAGCCTCTCTGAGCTGGCTGGACTTTGAAGGGAGAGAAGAACCTGCCCTGTCAACACTGGGGAGAACGTTCCAGGCTGATGGAACTGCACACAGAGGCCCTGGGGCGGGAGCAACCGACAGGTTCAAGAAACCCAGAGACGACCCTGCCGGGCACTGTGATGGGGAGAGGGCCGCCTAAAAGGGGTCATGAGGCTGGAAACCATAAGTTACACAGCACAGAGACATTTCCTTCCGAGTGCTGCTGCGGAAAGCCTTGGGAGTGACACTGATGGGTTTGCTCTTTAGGACGGTCATTGGCCGTGAGTGGGTTGGGGGTGAGCGGCTGTGGGGGAGGCCGGCGCATAGCTACAGTGTTGTCCAAGTGACAGAAGACGGGGGTCGGACTGGGACAGTGACTCAGGGAAAGGGAGGTGACAGTTCCCAGATGCAGCTGGAGGAGCCACCTGGCTGCAGGGTGCACGGAGACCATTCATCTCCCGGGCCAGGAGGGGGGCCGAGCGTCTCTTTCTAAGATGGCGCAAGACGTTGGCCGTGTTTCATTCCCTCCACGACCTGGTTTATGGGGACTCGATTCACGCCACCTCTCCATCCCGTTCCTTTCTCTAAATATGGCCGGGCTGCGCGTGGGAATGGCGCTTGCTGGCCCTGCATCAAGGGCCTTCCTGGAGCTTGTGGGGACCTGCCGTGGCCTGGCGGTGGCATCTGTACAGCCCCTTGGCCTCTGGAGGAGGGACTTGGTCCGAGGCTCGAGTGTCCCAGGCCAGGCTGTCCAGGAAGCTTCCAGACCATGGTGTCCCGACTGAGGCCTCTGCCAAGCCCAGAGCAGGGTTTGAGCACCAGGTGGTCTCTGCCAAGGACACCTCTGCCCCTTCTGGGTCTGAACGTCGGCATCGTGACCCTCAGGAGCGCTGGATCTATGAGCTCCTCCCGTCACCCCGCTCCTCGTGCTCCTGGCCCAGGCTCGCCTGCGTCCCCACCCAGGGCAGCGCTGCTCTCACCTTGAGTGACTGTTACTCTACCTGGTTCTCCATCAGGGGTGTATTTGGAGACGGGGAGTCTGTTTGCTGGTACTTTGGCTTGAGGGTGGGTGCCCCTGGCCTGTGGTGGTCAATGACCCGCCCCCGTCCTCCTGTGCTAGAGGGACCCTGCAGAGGTGCTGCTTAGCCACTGAGCCTTCTTTCCAAGCAGCGATTTCAAGTCCTAACGGGGTACCCTGTGCAGAGGTGGCTCCTTCCATTTTTGGAAAACTTGGCCCCCTGCGTTGCGACTGTGGGAAGAAGGGGCTGTCTCTTCTGATGGTTCTCTCTCACTCTTGGGCTGATCCAGATTAATTTATGAACCAAGCCTACGGTTGCCCACAGCTGGGAGATGTAACACGCCATCCGTCTCAGGTCTTCAGAGCTGCTGTCAGCGTCACTGGGGGTCTCCATCCACCTTTGGTGACCCCACTGACTTGAAGGGAAGGACACCTGGAAACGGGTGTCCCTTGAGTCCACCCACAAAGCTGTCACCTGGGGTCTTTTCATGGGTACTTGGGAAATCTGTGGCACATTGAACTGACCCAGGGACACCCTAGTTGTGGTCCTGGACACCCTGCATGGCTGGAGGACAGGCCGCGTCCTTCATCCGGTTCTCGTTGTTCTCTGCTGGTGAATGTCATTTCAGATTGAACTGTTACATCGTCCTGTGGGGCCAGGTACTTGTATTGGGCCATGTTCTGAAAACTGTGTTTGCCCTGATTTCTGTTGGTTGTCTGTCTTTGGCTGGTTCCCCAGGGGCGGAACCTGCCTGGGGTTCGGACGAGTGTCATGATTTAGTGACGCTGTGAGGAGAATCTCCACTGAGCACAGAGTTCTCTTCAGGTTCTTGGCCCCAAGGTGGCAGAATCCCATGCCTGAAGACCTACCAAATCGGTCTGACTGCTTTCGAAATTTCTAAATGTTTCCTCCTCCCTGCCCGAATGTCCTGAAATGCTCAGCTCACCTCAGAGACTCGGGGACAGCTCAGACAACCCCACTCGGAGGCGCGCCGGTCCCCGCCAGGCCTCAGACACAGACACACTGTGGAACAGAGCCCCCTCCCCACGGCCCTTCCCCGGGCCAGGCCAGAACTGGATTCCTTCACAGCCAGAAATACACAAAGGATTTCCTTCTCATCTCTGAGAACATTCTGGGCTTTATAACCAGCAAAGCAGTTTATCTCCGCATCCAACTCTAAGATGCTTTCTCGGGCCCCTTAAGCCCTGTGGGATTAACCAGCTCTGGCGGCTCCACCCAGGGGCTCAAGGTTCTGTGGGAGGGGGCCCGGGGTGGCGGTGGCTGCCGACAGGTATTAACTGCTGCTGCCTCTGAGGTGCAGCCATTAAGTCACGGCACTAATTCCTTCCTTCCTTCCTTCCTTCCTTTACTCTAACCACAAACCCACAAGCCATCCATCCTCCCTGTGGGTGCCGGCCCTGGAATTTCCAACGCTGCTCAGAAAGTTTCCAGATTCTTCCTTCCAAGAGTTTGAACCTGAGAGTGACTAAAATGGGAGCAGCATTTAACCAAGGCCAGGATCAAAAGACTGGGTGTGATGCTTCCTTTGGCAAGAAGCCTTTGAAGGAGGTTGAGCGGGGTGCGGGTGTCTAATTCAGGCTTCGAGGTGGAGGATGGCGGGGAACATGGAGAGGAGGCTGGTGTGGAGGAGGACAACTGGCATCAACTGGCTGCGGTCCCCACTGGTGGAGGGCATGGAGGGAGGACTGCGGAGGGGTTGTCAGGGAGGACTCCCACCCAGGCGAGTGGGTAACTGGGGGAGGAGGAGCTTGAGGGCTGAACAATGAAGACTCCAGTTTGGACTGTGAACTCAGAAGTTGCCAAGTGGAGGTGCTGAGTCCCAGTCGGATTGGGGGACTTGTTGGGGCTGAGTGTGGGAGTCGGCCACCGGCGGGTACTGGAAGCCATGGGCCTGGCTTGGGGGAAGGAGAACAGGGGCCAGGAGCAGCCACTGTGGACCGTTGGACCCGCTCACCCTTGGCTAAGGAGCTGAGGGCGGCCAGGGAGCAGCAGACACAGGCTGGGCCCTGAGAACGCGGCCCTTGTTTTTCTTACTGTGCTTGGGGTGACAGCTTCGTCTCCTTCTTTGTTCCCAAAGAGATCGGTTGAAGTCCATCTGTCACAGAGGCTGCAGCCCAGAGCACTGCCCCTAAGAAGTACAAGAATGCCAGCCATACTGGAAACTAGAGTAACGGGCCAACAGGCCACATCCAACGAGAGAGAGAGAGAGAGAGAGAGAGAGAGAGAGAGAGAGAGAAAGGGGGGGGGAATGGTACCTAACCATCCAAGATACTTCATATTTTAAAATCCTGATTTTTCTATTCTCTTGAAAGAACCAGCATCTCCGGGTGCTGTCACTGGATGTGGGAGCAAAGGCTCAGCAGAGTTCCTCAAGGTCACCCACCAGGGGAACAGTGTGGGGTCAGCAGAGAGGAAAGGAAAGAACAGGCTGCTTGGGTGACTGGGGAGGGACGAGCAGGACACTGGGGGCCGTGCTCTCTGGCGTGCGTGGGCCCTGCTACGCCTCTGCGGGAAGGCCGGGCGCAAAGGCCCAGACCTCACTTCCTGTGGTTGGCTGGTGGGAGGGGGAGCCCCCGTGGCCCCAGGGTGGATTTGGCTCAGAGCCAAGGCCAGGGGAGCCCACCACGTCTGGTTCTCCATCTAACAGAAGTTCTGGAAAAGGTCCTGGTGCCTATCAGAGACTTGGGGTTCAGGTTGGCTATGCTTGGACATTGGAACCCCGGATTTGAGGAAAGCAGCCCCGGGTAGGGGTGGATCTCAGGTGAAGTAACCGCCTGGCGGTCCCCACCTGGTGTGCCTGGGCCAGGTGGAATTCCCCAGGAGCACCTGTGGCTCTGCTTGGCTCCGGTTGCTACCAGGTTCATCTTGGTGCCCAACTTCCTTTTGCATTAGGAAATCACCTGTAAGAGGTTGAGGTCCTACGTCTGAACAATAGCCCTTCCTGAGTGGCTAGATAAATGGTGGCACATCCAGAGTGACCCTGCCTTCAGCTCTAAATACAGAAGGCAGCTGTACTCACCCTGATCTGAAGGCACTGCTGAAATACGTTACGAGAAATACGCCTTATAGCGCACGAGTGACGGGATCCCAGTACACATGGAGCGCTCTCACTTGGACTATATACATGCTTAGACCCTCAGATGGGTTGTCTGCCTGACCTGGAATATTCTAGAAACATTGAAAAGCTGGTCAGTGGAAGGAAATGGGAGAGTGCAAGGTTTCTGTAGTGGTTGCCTCTGGGGAGATAACGGAACCTCAGGCCTTCATTTCTTTCCCACCTAGTTTCTGGGTGTTTCTAGAACCTTCTAGGTCTTGGTCCTGGTTTATGGTTCTGGGATTGTGGCACGTCAGCACCAAAAGGCTTTCTTTAGAGACCTCACCCCCATTTCCTAGTGAGGGGGGCCGAGACCAGAGCAGGCAGTGAGTGCCTCACCGGGGCTTTGGCTGTGATGTCTGGTCCTGGTCACTTTGGTTTTCTAAAGCAGGTGGACACTGCTGGTTTCTGAAGTGTCACCCTGTCTGTCTGTCTGTCTGAGGCAGTCTCACCTCCGAGGCCCCAGTAATGTTCCTGTCAAAGGAAAATGATGGAGCACTTGATTTGGGTGGCCTGTGCGCCCAGCTGTCATGGAAAATAAAGAGCAGATGGCAGTGGCTGGGTTCTTCAGGAGCACAAAGCCACTGGATCTGGGCACGTGGTACTTGGGGAGCTCTCGACTCTCAGGAATTAAAGGGGGGCATTCCTCCTGGAAATTACATGACACAGCCCCCCCCCCATTTCTCCCTTGCTGAGAATCTTATTGATCTCATTTCTGGGGAGCAAGCTAGGAGTGAATGAGGCCCTTCACCCCAGGTCTGGCTCACAGACCTTCAAAGCCCTGCCCTCTGCCCTGGGGAGAGGCTGGAGGGGCCGGGACTGCGGTTAGGGACTCTTCTCACATCAAGGCCCCCGGGCTGATGATAAAATCTGTTCTTCAAGCTGGGACCAAGGCCCTGCTGCCCAAATCCAAGGACGTGGTCTCTGCTTGACTTGTAATAGGCTGTGGTAGAAGGAAGAGGGCACTGGGGTCAGGTTGCCTGGAATTCAGACTCCGCCACTGACCTCTCCTCATGGGACTTGTTTTCACTTCCGTAAATGAGGACAATGACATGCACATCTCCTGATGGATCAGGAGGCTTCAATCAGGTGATGTGCAGGCACCTGCCAAGGGGCACCTGCTACCATGATGTTTTTATTAAGCAAATTGAACTTTCTAATTCTTTTTTTTTTTTTTTTTTTTAATAACAAGGTCTCACTAAGTTACTGAGGCTGGCATCAAACCTGTGATCCTCCTGCCTCAGCTTCCCTGGCCTTCTTTTCTCCACAAAAGTTTCTGAAACCTTAGGTGTTTGCTTATCTGCCCGTAGATGACCAGCAAATCCTAGAACCGGCTCAGGGACAGCCTGGCATGTCTCTGCAGTGGCATTTTACATGAACGTAAGCAGTTGTGGCGGAAGCTTTGTATAAATCGTGGTCATAGCACCTTTTCACAACGAGAAAGTTGCTCCTAGTTCATGTTAGGGCACTTAGCGTATCCTGGGGTTTGGCCTGTGCACCTGGACTTGGAGCTGCCTGGCAGGAATAGCTCCCTTCCGGCTGTGGGGGATGGTGCTGTTTGGAAGGGGGCAGGGTCCTCTCCTGTCCAGTGAGGCTTGCACTCCGGCAGCCTCCAAGAAGCCCTGCGGTTGGGCCTTCCACCTGGGAAGGCTGGCAAGTGTCCGCCAGGTGGGCCGGGGAGGCGAGGCGCACCCCTGGGTTTATGCTCCCCTCTTCCACCAGGGGAAAGCAAGGCAACATGAGCAGCGCTGGTCCCCTGCTCCCCAGCTTCTCTGTCACCCTCGCGGGCAACCAGAAAAGGCCAGAGGCAACTGTTTCCCAGCTCGGCCCCTCCACCTCTGCCCCGAGTGAATGGGGGCCTTGTCCTCGGGTGTAGAATGAGCTGGACTGTGGGTGGTAAGGGCGCATTGTCTTCTGCCTTGGAAATAATGCCTCGGCTTCTTCTGGGACCCTGTTACGGACAGTTCCGCTGCGCAGCCTCTCCGTAGCCAGGGGTCATTCTGAAGGCAATTGGCTTGGAGTCTCAGAATGTCACAGCTGGAAGGCCACAAGTTTGGCTCCTTTGACTGGCCAGGGAGGTCTGTCCTGCTAGCTGCGCCCGTGTGGGACGCACTGGTCTCTATACCCAGCACAGGAGCCACGACAAGCCCTGGAGATTGTCCAGTCCCGTGGGTCTCCCCAGGGGCGGGTTAGTTCCCAGGGGACATTTGGCCATCACAAGTGGGAATGAGGCGTCATTGTCATCTAGTGGGCAAGTCCAGCATGGCTGCCAAACATCTGACAGGACACAGGACGGTCCCCTGCAACAATGACAAATGTCAGAGTAGCCAGGTGGAGGACCCTGCCCTAGGCCCAGGTCACCACCCCCATCGGGCAGATAGGCTACTGGGGTCCAGAGAGATGAAGTGACTTGCAAGGCTCACAGAGTTTCAGTGGCAATGCCAGCGCCCAGGATGTGCGACCTTCATCTTTAAACCCAGGTGCTGGTCTGAGAGAGGATGAAGTTCCCAGGCGGGGCTGGTTGCCAGGCAGGGCCTTCTGCCCAGTCTCGGCATCTCCAGCCTCGGAGAGGCCAGTGACACAGTCGTTAGTTTTCCGTGGATATGGCAGTAGTAGGATTCTCGCAGTCCCGGGCCTGGCACCCACAGTGGCACATCTGCCCATCATGGAAGGTAGGCCCCGGGCAGCCCTGCGCTCTGTGAGTGTCTCAGAAACACAGAGACCACTGTTTAGGCCCAGGGATTCCACACACCAGGCTGTGAGTGTTAGAAGGTGCCCTTTGTGTGGCTGTCTTGGTTTGCTTCCCATGGGACAAGAGAAGGAGCCGTTGCTGCTGTTTGAGAACAGGGAGCAGAGCGGGCCCCCTCCTGTGCTCTGGCCCCACGCTCTCAACCGACTCTCTGCAGCGATGGCAGTGACCAGTGTGGCAACCGTCTGCTCCATGTGGCTGCTGAGCACTTAAAATACAGTCAGTGTAACTGGGGGATTGAATTTTTAACTTTATTGAATTTCAGTTAATTTAAATTTAAGTGGTTGGTGGCTACTGGCTGGACGGTTACCTCTGGGCCATCAGTGTGGATACTTTTCTCTTTAATATTGTGGGTTTTGTCCCACAGCCATAGACATGTAAGTTTCCTTCCCCCCTCTTTTTTTTTCTTTTAATTTCTTTAAGCAAAGTCCAAATGAGCAGTAGCAATTTTTTTCTCATCCTGCGGTGGGACTTAGCCTCACCCAACAGGGACCTTTTAAACACGACTTGGGCTCTGTCCAGAGAACTAGCAAAGGGTGGTTCTAGAAAGAAATTGGAATGCAGAGGGTCCCATGCATCTCGCTGGGGTGGAACCCTGTCTTGGTCGGATGCTTTATGAAAGCACCGAGCGTTCCACACCTTGGTGACCTCGTGGTGAGTTCCTGACCTAGAACTTGTCCTTGGACTCTGTCATGAGGCTTTTTAAAGCAGGTCTCCAGAGGAGACCTGGCGAGTGGGGGGCTTTGGTGCAGCTGGGCCTCTGGTGGGCGCTGCAGGCCTAGCGGCTCTGGGGAGGAGACCCAGGGTAAGGAACCAAGGTCACACTGCACCAGTAAGGAGTGAGGAGTCCTTGCCTTCAGGAGCCTGACAAGGAGGGCTGTGTGGGGGAAGAACGAGGGTCCTCAGCTGCCATCAGGAGCCTAATGAGTCCCGCCAGCTGCCCCCCACTGCTGTGGGCACCTGCTCCGGCCTCGGCTCGTCTTTCCCTCACACGGGGAAGAGCCGTGGCTGCCCCTGCCTGAGAGACAGGCCCAATTCATCCTTCTCTTTCCTAATCAGGCCCAGGAACGATGGAGACCATTATTAATAATGGATTAGGTTACTGAAGTGCCCCGCGGGAGTCCAGCCTGAGAACACTGCTCTTGATGATGAGCGGCCACGCGGCCACCACGCTGGGCTCTGCGCCCAGAACACAGGGCAGAACAAACAGGTCAGAGGGGCCAGTGGTCCAGGGAGCCCGGGCCCCGGGTTAGAGCCACAGATGGAGGGGTCCAGAGCCCCCACCCTGGGCGTCAGGGACACCTGCCACCAGCCAGGAGAGCAGAGAAGCTGGGGTGCCAGCTTCCCGTGGCCCCATCCCGACCCTTGCCAGCCTAGGCCAACCCCGTGGGACCTCTCCACAGGGCCACCTCCTCTCTCCCTCCCCACGGGGCTCAGCTTGAATGTCACTTCTTCAAAGAGGTGTCGTTGACGCCCACGGTGACAGCAGTCTCCCCTTCCACTCCCAGGGTGCCCTCCCCCTCCCCCCGGCACCTGTGTCATCCCCCCCTCCCATCTCAGCCGTCCACAGTTCCCTGGGGGCGCTGGCTGGTCGCCGTCTCTCCATCACAGGTTCAAATGCCCACTGCAGTGAAGGGCCCACTTTTGCTCCACCTGGTTCTGTGCTTCAGCTTCCTCCTCTGGGCACTGTCCCCAGAGTCCCCGCTCTCTGTGAGACCCCCCTCCCACCCTGCACTCAGGCTCTGGACAAAACCAGGGGTGGCTTTTCCAGCTCCTGACCTGCTCCTGGGGCTGCGGGGGGCTGCAGCAGGTTTGTGTTCCTGACGTCCACCCCACAGGGCCCTTGGCGTCCCTCCCCTCCCTGGTCCGTCACCCACCCACATCCCAGACACCTGGCTGCACCTCTGCTGCTGTCCCTGGGACACCAGCCCCTGTCCTGCCCTCACACTTCTTCACTAAGGTGATGGGCATAATCCTGCCCGTCCCCGCTGCCCCGTGGCTGCCCCCAGCCTCCCTCCCTCCTTCCCGGCACCTCGGGATCCGGAACCTGGGCCCAGGCGCCCCCTGTGCAGGGCGCACCCCCTCCAGCCCCCGAGAGCGGCCTCCGCTCCTGCCCGTCCTTTGCCGGATGAGCTCCCTGGACCCCAGCTTTCTTCAGAAGTTGCCCCTCGAGGATCCCCTCATGTCACACGAGAGCACCTGGTCCCCGGACCCTCAGCCACATCAGCTGCCCTGCTGTGGAACAAAAAGGACAGCGTGGTGTCCAGGCGGAGGGGCCTGCCTCTTCCTAGTCTCTCCCTCAGGGCCAGGAGGCCCTTTCCTGAAGCCCCAGCAGGCCTTCCCTCTCCGTCCCCAGCCAGAATCATGCACCCCTAAGCCAGTTAGAGGCAGAAGGACAGGGACAACCAGCCCGGCTCAGACCATGGGAAACCCACCTCCCAAAGCCTGGCCCCCAGGGACCCGCTCCCTCTGCTGAGAGCTGGTAACTGGGCAGCCAGCGGCCTCCAGCTGCAGCCGGAGGGAGGACTGGGAAGACTTAAGAAAGGGGGGTTTTCCCAAGACCCAGCAGCAGAGAAGGGGTGGAAGGGCCCCCAGGCCAGGGCACAGATGGGTGTCCTGTCCACCTGGACAACTCCCAAGGCAATTTCTTATTTCTCCCCAGAAGTGGGGGCTGATCTCAGAGGTCAGCACAAGCCCGAGGTCCAACGTCGTCCTTGTGACTTGTGAGTCCAGCCATGTACTCTGGTACCTTCAGGGCAAGAAATCGGCCAGCCGCCCCACACCCACGCTGGCCCCGGGGCCCCTGTGGGAGGTGGGCGCCCCTGGCACAGGCCTCCCCGTGGAGGCCTGGTGTCCATAAGTGGAGAGTGGCGGCCTGAGAGTCAGTCCCTTGTGTCCAGAGACAATGGGGCTCTGTGGGTGGGGTGCCAGAGGGAGGAGGCAACCCTGCCCTCACAAGCGCCTTCCTCAGTGGACACTGAGTCTGCGCCCAGCAGCCCAACAGGCCTGGGCCCTGGGCCCCCAGGCAGGATAAGGGCTGTCTACCACAAAGGAGCTTCTGAGAACCCGCACCATTTGCGGTGCTTTAGGACGGTACTTAAAGAGCACTGACAGTCACAAGGGCCAGGGCCTGGTCCCCGTGCGGCCATGAGCACAGCCTCGGTTTCCTCCTTGGTCCCCAGGGTCTGTGACGCAGGTTCTGTCACCACACAAGCCTTTGACAAAGTTCCCTGTCCCCTTGCTGCTCTCGTGAGCCAGAGAGAAGTGAGAAGTCACAGCCCACTGGGGAGACACTGAGACCCTCGGGCACCTCTTTGCTCAGAGTCCCACACATTGGACGACTTTTCCTGAGGACCCTTCAGGAGCCCAGAGAGGGGCCCTCCACAGTGAAGGACCAACTGTGCCATTAGACCGTCGCTTGAAGTGGGGACCTGTGACTGCTGTCACCTCTGCCTGGTGGTGTCACCAATCCCACAGGAACCCCTGAAGGAGAGGTGACCCCAGCCCACACAGCTCTGCCTTCATTTCCCCCTGGGAATGGCAGGGCTGGTCTGCTGTTTGGGAAGCAGGTTCATGGACATTCGCCCCTGGCAGGAGATGGACACCCATCTCCACAGCATTGGTGACTGCAGAAGCGGGCACTGGCCTGACGTGTCAGTGGGGCTGGTCACTGGGCTTTGGAGGAGGCTGGAGGTAGACGGCCACTGTGGGTAGCCGCCTCCCCGACCGTAATTAAGGCCAGTTAAGCCGAGACATTCAGCTCCTGGGGACCAAAGGAAACCACTCAGGCCCCTGGGCACGCATGAGTCACCAAAGACTTTGGAAGTTGGGAGAGATGTCTCATGACGTCCCTGAGGCCCACCGTGTCCCAACAGTGCCTGAAACTCAGGCTACGCTCAACAAGCAGGATGCGGCGTGAGCAAATGGCTGGCCTCGTGAGGGGGCCACACACAGGGCCAAGAGGCTGAGCCACCGAAGGAGTCTCCGACTCAAGATGGAAATGTGGTTTTAAAACAAATGACATGGCTGTCACTCCCTTTTCCTGGAAGCAGACTGCATTACTGTTGAAAGAGATGCTGCGAAACAGATTGCTTCCAAACTGTGCACTGCTGTCTGATTCGCTCGTCTCTCGCTCCGTCCCCCGACAGCCAAACATCTGTGCACAGCTTCTCCAAACAGCTGGCTCTGGCTCTGATGGAGCCAGCTGTTCCCCGGGTCGCATATCCCCGGGGTTAGTGGGCCGAGTTGGCTGGGAGCTGTCCTAGGACACCGGCTCTGTCCTCCGTGTCCTACTGCTACAAGGGGAGATGCAATCAGGCCGTGGCCACGGTGCCAAATGGCGAGCCTGCAGTCATCGCCGGGTGAAGGTGGCTGTGCTCCTCCGACCCACAGGGACTCTGCCTCCGTCGTCTCCTGCGATAGCCACAAACCCACGAGGAACCCGGGGAGGCGTCCATCACTGAGAGCGGCTGGAGGGCTGGCCGGAGCTCACAGTTCTTTTGTGGCCCTGGACCTGGGGTGGAGCCACCAGCCCCCACTTCTCCCTAGAAACCGCTTGGTCCCATGGGCTCAGCCTTCGGGACCCGTCCAGGGGACATCTGAAGCTCCCGCTGCTCCTACTTCCTCTGCAGGCACCTGCAGGGCGGCTTCTTTGCCTCCTGTAGCACCTGCCGCGAGACCCCATCATGCTCAGCCAGGGATTTGTTTTCGGGCTTCGCTCCTCTCCTCAGAGTTCCCCTGGGGACAGGCTTCCTCTGTCTTGGGAACTCCCTGGACTGGCACCTGACGGGCCCTGCCAGGCTGCTCCCCTCCGGCGGCACTGAGAGAAACTGCCCAGGTGGCAGGTGGGCCCAGGGCAGGACCCGCCTCACTCGGTTCTTGTCTCTTGTGGCCTAATGTCCTCTTCTGTGAGGACCCTTGTTTTGCGTATCTGGTCTTTGGCAGGTTTGTGGGGGTGGGTGGAAGCAGCAGCAGGGGCTCTGTGGTGTGTGTGTGACCTGGGATTGAGCCCCAAGGCACTCTGCCACCAAGCTCCACCCCAGCCCTTCTGGTTTTTTATTTTGAGTCAGGGCCTTGTCAAGTTGCCCAGGCTGGCTGCAGACTTGCCATCCTCCTGCCTCAGCCTCCCAAGTCGCTGGGATTACAGGCGTGCCACTGCACCCAGCTAGAAGTCCCAGAGCTTTTAATGATAACGTTTCCTAAGAACGCAGCTCCTCTGATGAATTCAAAACGAGCCTAGATTTTTCTAAACTGTCCTCTCTGGTGGCCATCTAGTCTCACCATCCCTCTAGGCCACAGGAATGTTTCCTGAATACAGCAGGCAAAGCCCCGCTGAGATTCGGAAAGGGTATGGCGACCTCTGAGACTCCAGGACACCTCCTGCCTTTCTGTCATGTGCAGAGAGAGTGACAAGAGGAGGCAGGAGCTCAGCAGTCTTGACAGTCTGACTGCGTTGGCCTCCCCTGTCTGCTCCCTGTCGCTCACGAGGCATCTCTCCTGCCCCTGAGCCACCCTCCCTGCAGCCGCAGATGACCTCACCTGGCAGGTTAGCCATCTGTGTGTGCCTCTTCTTTTGGAGGCTGCCAGCTCCTGAGCAAGAGGATCAGGTCTCAGTCAGCTTTATAGTGACTCACGGGGTAGCTGGCACCGGGCCTAGGGAGGGCGCGGGTTCCGTGTGATTCATCTTGAGAGCCCCAGCTCCCCGCACAGTGTCGAGCAGCAGGCGCGCTCCGTGCGTATCTGGTGGATGAATGAACGAATGAGCACATTCAGGTCACTGTCCTCTCAGGTACAAACCATCAGCTACCCACACGATGCCTTGTCATCTCTGGAGAGAGGTACTGGCCACATCCAGCACAGGGAAATTGAGGCGGGGGCAGGCCTGGCGGGTAGCCCAAAGATTGAGGTCTCCAGCCTGGCCCCTGGGAAAGCTGCTTCTTCTGCATGGGCTGGAGGGGGGCGCTCAGCTAGAGCTTACTGCTGTCAGGATCCACTGTGTTTTGAAAAGTGGCCGTACAAAGGACATTCCTACCCCGCTCACGGTTACGCAGGGGAAGGAGGAGCTGTGGAATCGAGTGATTCCAAGTGAGGCTCCTGGAGCTGGTGGGATTTCTCGCCCTGTTGGCATCTTTCAAGGGACAGTTCTACCTTGGGCATTAATACCTCATTCACTGTCATGAGTGCCCATGGCTGCTGGGATTGTGACCACCAAAGACACAAAGCTCCAAGTGCTACTGTTCGGGGAAACAACCCCTGGCACAGAAACCAGAACCGCATCCTTGTCAGTGAGAACAGGGGGTCAGGCGTTGGCGTGCGGGCCCCGTGAGGACGGGCAGCCTTGAGTGATCTGATGGTGTGTCTGACCCCCGCGGCGACTGCCGCTTAGAGAAGGGGCCTGGATCTCTGTCTGGTCACCCTGGGAAGACTTGCCCAAGTCAGGGACACCTCAACTGAGGAACTGGGAGGAAGGGTTTGGGGTTTGATATTTCAAAAAAGAAAAGCTAACCCCTGGATCAGAATGACAAGACCATCTGCCTGTCCTTAAGAGGGTCCCCCCTTGTCCCCCAAGTCCTGGGGCTGTCCTCAAGCCACCTATTCTTGAGTGGACAGAACTGCCACTTACCTCTTGAGCAAGTTCCTCAAGAGGTAAGTGGCAGTTCTTTGGGCCGCCCTCCCCTGACTTGAGTTTATTCTGACCTTGGATCCTGTACCTTCTCAGTGTTGGCCTGATCCTGCCCTGGCTCGGGCAGCCCGGTGGCATTCTTGTCCCAGCCGTGGGATCTGAGGTCCAACCCCAGGACCTTGCATTTGCTAATGGTGTTTTAGCACCAACCCCCTGGGAAGTGCATAATAGCTTCCTGGATTTCTTAATCCAGCTGCTGTTAATTCAGTAACAACTTAGTCACCATCTCCTCTGCATCTTCCATGGTTCTACCCAGGAGAGAACAAAAGTGGGAGCACTGGGGAAAAGCAGCTTGCAGTTCCTTATCAGGCCAATCTGCACAGACCCCAGGACCTGGCAGCCCCACCCCGAGCGTTTACCCAAGGAAATATGAAAACACGTCTCCACAAAGGCTCACAGGCACGACTTTCGGCAGCTCAAAAACCTGGGAATAGCCTAGGTGTCCATCAACAGGGATGCGGTAAACAAATGATAGCATACGTGGCGGAGGTCTGCTCAGCTACAGAGAGGAAGGAATACTCAAGTGTGCAACCTGCAGACAAGTCTCCACCACTCTGCTGGACAAAGGAAAAACAAGAAAACGTTGGCGATTCTGTTTATGTGAATGTCAGGAACAAGCAAATCTAATCTATGATTTTAGAAATCAGAATAGCCATTGCCCTCAGGGTGGGGACCGGCTAGAAAGAGGTACTTTCTCGTGTGGGAAGTTCTGTGTTGTGATGGGCTGTTGCCTCTGCAGGTGGACACCTTTGTCAAAGCTGTCAGGGGTGCACTTGAGGTGGAGCTAACCCCTGGATCAGAATGACAAGACCGTCTGCCTGTCCTTAGGAGGGTCCCCCCTTGTCCCCCAAGTCCTGGGGCTGTCCTCAAGCCACCTATTCTTGAATGGACAGAGGCATATCCCATTCTTTTGGGTATATTCTTGTATCTTGAAGACCTGCCCAAGGCTGGCACTGTCTGTGTGTCCGCCGTCCATCCCTCTTCCTGTCTTCCTCTCTCTTTTCTACCTTCCCTCCCTTTCCTTCTCCTTCCTCCCCCACCCAGCCCTCCTGCCGTCCCCAGCACGGCTTTCCAGTTGTGCCAGGTCTTTCCAGGACCTCGCTCTGGGTCCAGGCTCTGGGATGAAGCTCTGCGGTGTCTTTGCTTTCTCAGAGGGACCTGAGCCTGCCTCTTGACACCTGTGCTTCAGAGGCACCCGACACAGCCCGTATCGAGGGGGTGCAGATTCACCCCCAAAGACTTCATGGGTGGGATAACAATGAGAGGGCCTCATGGCACCCAGTGCCAGGTGCTTTGTCGATGACACTTTCCCACATTCTGGCCACCCCCATACAGACTGAGATGACCACAGGTGTCCCCACTAGGCCAGACCCACGACTGCACAGACCCAGCCTCTTGCAACAATTAGCTTAATAAACTGACCTCACCGCCTCCTTTTCTGTCTCCTCCCCTGGAGTCCCCTGTGAGCCCGCTCCCCACCCCCACCTGTAGCGGAACTGGATTTAATGCCTCAACTGAGAGAATGAGATGTTCTGTTATTTTTCATGGGAAATTAAACCTGACCCGGCTGTCAGTTAGCTCATGCCAAGGGAGGATGGATGGCCCGGGCGCGGCACTTAACCCCTGCTCTGCGCACACACGCCAGGGCTGGGATGGAGGCACGGGGGAGGGCTGGCTGGGAGCCAGGCATGACGTCACCGCTGCAGGCTGGGGGTGGGGCTGCAGGAGAGGTCAGAGGGCCTTCCTGGGGGTAATGATGTCCAGGAGGTCCATGCCGGTGGCACCCTCTGATGCTCCCCCCGAGACTCAGCTGCTCCTGTGTCTTCCAGTTCCCAACTCTACCTCGTGCCCCGATGAGGAGAGCTGGTGGTCGGGGCTGGTGATCATCGTGGCCGTCGGCTGTGCCGCCCTGGTGTTCCTGACTGTGCTCGTCATCATTTGCTACAAAGCCATAAAAAGGTGAGTGTCACTGGGCCCAGTCGCGGGGGGAAACAGCTGGGCTCCAGGCTCCTCCACCCACCCTCCAGCACTTTTTAAAATCATAGCAATTGCTGAGACCATAAGAAGCAGAAAGACTGTACAACGAACTTCCCTCCACCCTCGCCCTCATCCCGCAGTTTCCGAGGTTTGGCTGTATTTGCTGCGTCTATTTCCTCTTTCTTCTTCTTTCTTTCTTGTTGCTGGAATATTTTAAAGTAAACCTCAGTCACGATGCCCCATTTTTTTTAGGTAGTTTTGATTCCACGAGCGTTTGACGTGCACCAGTTGTGTGTCAGGCCCGGCGCAACCCAAAAGAACAAAAAATATTGCCAGACACCAAAGGGTAATGGGAGTTGTTAATAATGCGGTGTATCTAAGAAAGTGTTTTTAATTCCTTGCCATCCCTGTGAAGAATGATCATAACACCTAAAACGTTTCATTTACCTCTTTTAATCTGTTGGCCTATACGACCTCACCTCAATAATTCAAAAGCAGAGACCAACATCATCAAGTTGAAAGTCTTAAAATGAATCATGGTCAAGCATCCAGAAAGGGGGCCAACAGTGTCCTGGCAAGCGAGTGGAAGAGGCCAGACCCAGCAGCAGGACCCAGCGTGGCTGCTGCAAGCAGCACAGGCCATGCCCTCCCTGGGCATGGACCTCCCAGCCCAGAACCCCCCTTCTCCAGTGCCCATGCTGCAGGGCAGTCTCTAAAACGACAGTCAATACCCAGGGAATAACTGTGGTCAACTCCTCGCCAGGCACCGGGTTTACCCCTTCACCCACACTCTTGGCTCCTCTTTGCCTCATCTCTTTCCAAACAGCCCCATTTGCAGATGAGGAAACTGCGGCCCGGAGGAGTTAGGGAGCTGCCCAGGATGGTACAACCGGGGAGCAGTCAAGTCAGAATTTAAGCCCAGAACCAGGTGACTCCAGAGCCCAGCCCTGGCCATGGCACCACTTTACCAATACGTTTGACTCCAGTGTTGGGCGAGAACCGGCCTGGATGCCCCTGCTCTTGCTCAGGGGTGCGGAAAAGGGGGGCCTGTGGGTGTGGCAGGGCGAGTCTGCAGCACTGGGAAGGACAGACAGACAGAGCTCGCACTAGCATCTCATCACGGTAGTGCTGCCCTGCCTTAGCTGAGCGGGCTCTGAGAGGGCTAGGGGATGACCAGGGAAGGAGCATGAAGGGAAGGCTCCCTCCAGGGGCTGTGGCAGCTTTGTCCAGGGACAGGGCAGGTCCAGGGAGCAAACGGGGCTGACGAAGCCAGAGCAGCCGTGGGGCAGTAGCTCCCCAGCACAGCAGCCCAGGGAACGGAGACTTAGCCCCAGGGAGGGTCTGCCAAGCAGAATGGCGGAGACACAGAGGAAGGGGAGGACATGTCCCCCAGCATCTCTGCGCCTCTCAGGTCTCCCATGGGTCCTCCAGTGGCCAAACCCAAGATGCCGAGGAATTGGAGAGATGCGGTCTGAGATCAGCCTCCCGGAGTGCCAAGCAGGGAGAGAGTGAAATGGGCAGCTGGGGGCACCTGGAGACAGCCCACACCATGATGCCCCTCCACCTCTTGGCCAAGATGGGGACACGGGGAATAAGACCCAGGTTGTCCCTAATCCAGAGACAGTGTCCTTGAAACACAATACCTGGTGCCAGGAGGGGGCCGTGCACACTGCAGACAGAGGAAGAGACCACTGCCAGAGCGGGGGGGGGGGCGGGGGGTGCCTGCCCTGGGGGGCTGTAGAGAGCCTTGTGCTAGCCAGGTCTGTCTGCACTTCTCCCCAGAGCAGATGGAGGGTTTCCTGCTCTCGGCCATTTCTTTTTGGTCAATAATTCATCTGAAACATGCCTTTCCTCTCAAGAAACAGGAACAGCCCATGTCACCGGGAAAGAAAAATTCAGTGAGAAGCCCCACGTTTCTGAGCTCTCGCGGCCTCCAGTCCCAGGGGAGATTTCCATCTCATGAATGGCCCCCCGTCCAGCCTTTCAGAGCCAGGTGGCAGGAGGATGGTTCTAGAATCAGCTGGGGTAGGAAGGAGGTGATTTGGGAGTTGCCAGGTTGGGCATCTGGGGTCAAGATAGTCGGGAGGCCTGGTTGAAGGGGCTGGTCTTGTGGGAAGTATAGTGGTCAGCGTTCCCAGGAACCTCATCCTCCAGGGCCAGGGCAGAGGCTGAGCGCAGACAGAACCTCTGAGAGTTTATAGACAACCAAAGCCTCTTAGTCCACAGGGGAAGAGGAATCGTAAACCAGGGTGAGCCATCGAGTCACCAAGATAAAATTCCAAGGCACCCACTGCCCCAGCGGGAAGGCCAGGCCCCAGATCCCCACTGACCTGGGGACACTCAGCAGGGAGCTGCCCTCCAGGGGTGGCCTTTGCACCCTTTCACCCCATGGAAGCCCCTGTGTTGAGGAGAGATGACCCCCCCCACACACCATGCTCCTGTGTAGAGACACCCACACCCTGAGGACAGGCAGAGGCCTTGCCCCGGGGGTCCTCAGGGCCCTGTTCCTTGCTGCTGCTGTGCCTTTGCCATTGAACCTCTTGACAGCCATTTCCGTCTCATGTTCAGGCTGCGACAGTGGGGCCGACGGGGGCCCCGGTCCTACAGACTGGACTGTGGACAGTGCAGTGGGTACTCTCGGCCGGGGCTGGAGAGCCTGCACTCCAGCTATTACTAGATGTGCTGTTGAGCCGCTTCCTGTGGAATGAGCACTTTTGAATGCTCCATGTTCCAGCCTCTTCCGTGGTGCCTTGGAAAAGCCCTTGACTGGCACAGGGCTTCTCAGAAAGTCGGTGTTGGTCCACGGGTATTGAGCATCTTCTGTAGGCCAGGGCCTAGACCAGGCTCCAGGGATGTAGAGTGCACAGGATTGAGACCCCATCCTCATCCTGCAGTGAGACAGGCAGATAACACACCCACACCCACAAACTGATCCACAAGATGGTTTAAAAGACATTGCTACGAAGAGAAGGTGAGCGGGCAGAGAAGGAGGGGACGCAGAGGGGTTGCTTCCACCAACCTGCAAGTCACGCGTGTTGTGCACACTTTTTTAAAGAGCTTAATGATTTCAAAAGTGTGGCTAGGGCTTTGCGCACTCATTACCACCTTTTAATTCAGTTTTTATTTTTGTCAGAGTTAATACATGCACATAATTTAAAATGTCCTGTGTGCCATAAAGTTATTAGGGAAACAACAGCCCCTGACTTCCGCTGCTCTTCCCCATCTCCATCTTGAGAGGCGGCCACTTCTGACAGCTGTTGCTGCTGTGTCGCCTCCGATTCTAAGTGATGTGCACACAGCTATTTGAGTTTTCCTCCAATTTGGAACATTATCAACTAACTTTCCACTATGGAATACCAGGGTCGGCACCCCTAACCCACAGACCCCCAAAACTCTTCCTCTCTTCCATCCTCCACGGGTGGCCTCCCAGGGCGGGCCTCAGGATATTCAGTGGTGACCTTGGGCCGTTTACCACGGTTTCTTTGCTTTCCTGGGTTTCCTCTCAGTGTGCTCAGGCCCATGGTGCCAGTTTCCTCTTGGAGACTCCGTCCTGCTTTCGGGGGGCCTGGTGGCTCTCTGGGCCTGCTGCGTAGCCACTGGGCTGCGGTCCCTGCAGCAGCTTCCCAGGGCCAGCACTCCTAACAGGCTTCTGCCTGGAACTCCCCACACTTGGCTTCCCCCGCCCTGCCCCGGGCTTCATTTCTTCATCTTGATTCCTTCAGGAACTTATTATAAGATCGCGCCCAAATATACACTCCAGAGAAAGCTCATCAGTGGGTTTTTTTTTCCTCCAGAATTTACATTCTTTTGGGACTTCAGGGTGGCCCAGATAGGGGTTTGTTCTTCCTTCCTGCAGGGCAGCTGCGTTGCCAGGCAGGGCTGGGGATGCGTTTCCCTGGGCTCCCAACCACAGCAGCCTTGGAGAGGTCATGAGCAAATGAAAAAAAATGCCAGACCTTTCTCTTCCCCGCCCAGCAGCTTGTCTGAGTCCATGGCTCCGCCTGAGCTTCCTTCTTTCTGGAGGTAAAGCCGGGATCCCACTCCTCTCGCTCATCTCTCCCCGCTGTGCCTGGCACGGCCCTTGCACCAGGGGCCACTTGGTGACCATTTCTCTGGCTTGAATGGAGGCCTGTTTACACACGTGCCAGCTTCCACCTTTGAACTTGACGAAGGCCATTTAGAATTCCAGCAGACTCACTTTCCCCCCTTCTCCCTGGGTGAGTGAAGGAGAATCTGTTTGGAGTAAATAGCACGTGCCCAGGGCTCAAGGCCAGGCCCCGCCCTGGCACCAGGTTCGGTCTCCTCCACCCTCTGCCATCTCTGCCCTTCCCTCTGAGTCCTTCTTCAGCCTCCTCCACACTCTAGCTCAGTGACACAGCAGCTCCCCTCCACCTCAGAGTAGCAGAGCCTCCCTCCCACCTGTGTGTGACATCTCGGGCCCCACCATGAAGGGTCCTGCCACCTGCCACCTCCTCATCCACCCCATGGAGCACAGCTACGAGGGGCCAGCCACCTCCACTCCCTTCCCTACTCTGGCCACTAGCTGAAGGGTAGGGACAGGGGACACGGAGGCAGGCTGGCCCAAAGCCCCAGGGAGGCCCAGGGATTCAGGACAGGATGGAAATTCTTCGCCCACTTTCCACTCACCATGAACTTCAAGAGCACCCCGGGAATGCATCTGGGGTTCCCTTGGGCTTTGCAACTGGTCTGTCTCAGGGACAAACACCTGTGGCCAGGTGGGTGCCTGATGTAGTAGCTGGGGCTGGACAGCTGTTCCCACCCATCACGTCTCTCTGCTCTCTGTGTAGGCACCTGTAACCCCCCCCACAGGCGCCCAAGTGCTGTCCCTGGCTGGAAGTCCAGGTCACCACTTCTCCCTCTGGAGTCGAGTGCACATTGGCACACTCCCCGTAGGGGCCTCTGCTGGTCAAGCGCTGGGCCTCCGGGGCCAGCACTGCCCCTGGGCCTTGCCCCGTCGTTGGGCTGTCTGGGGTTTGGCTTCTCCCTGGTCACCGCACAGGCTCCTTTTGAGTCCGGATGCCACAGTGTCTCCCATCATCATCACCATTGTCCTGCCTCCAAGAAGGGCTTGGGCTGAGACGGGATGTGGCGGGTGTCAGGCTGCCCTGGGCGCAGGAGCTTGCGTGGACTCCTTTCCATCAGCGCTGGCTGACGTGGACCCAAACAGAGCTCTGCCTTTTTCTTTTCTTTTTTTTTTTTTTTTTTGGTGTGTCTGTGTGTGCCGGGATTGAACTCGGGGGCCCTTGACCACTGAGCCACACCCCCAGCCCTGTTTTGTATTTTATTTAGAGACGGGGTCTCACTGAGTGCTTAGCACCTTGCTTTTGTGGAGGCTGGCTTTGAACTCACCATCCTCCTGCCTCGGCCTCCAGAGCCGCTGGGAATACAAGTGTGTGCCACCGTGCCCAGCTCTGGGGCCTTTTTCTTTTGTCATGAAGAAGTTCACCCCTCTCTGAAGCCAGCTCCCCAGGCCCACTGGGTCAAGGTTCTGGACTAGTCATTGTTCCTGGAGCCTCAGAGAAGCAGGTTCTCAGTGTCCCAATGAGACAGGTGCCATGGGGCCACTCCTGCCCAGAGACCCTCCAGCCAAGGACCTTTACCCCCTCAGCCATGCTGGCATCTAGGGGCTTGAAGGATGGTCACTTGAAGGATGGTCACTGAAGCTATTGTGGAGACCTCTGTCCAGGCTTCCGTAAGTGGCCCTTTGGTCCTTTCTCCAGCATCCTGGCTCGGAAGGACCTCATCCTGGATGAATCCCAGCCACAGAGCTTAGGGGGGTTGCAAGGCAGAGCCCGTGAGAGGACCCTTGCCCAGCCAGCCACGCCCTCCACTGTCCCCTCTGGGCATGTGGCTCCCGGGAGGAGGCCTCTCAGTTGAAGCCCGGGATCTGGTCAAGACCCTCAGCTTCCACCCAGGTGTGCAGGTGCTCAGACCTGGCTCATCTGCCTGGGACATGGCGGGGAGGTGCCCAGGCCTGGAAGTGGAACTGCTGCTCCTCACAGGGATAGCTTGGTGGCCGTGGCCGACCTCTGCCCTGTGTGTGTGTGTGTGTGTGTGTGTGTGTGTGTGTGTCCTGGGCTGGGCAGCGGGGAGGTGGGTGCCTTTGGCAGGGAGAACCTGGGACCTGGAACCCCCACTTTGTTGAAAGCAAACCCTCCGGGGTGGGGTGAGACTAAGGGGAGCTGGGGGCCCCTCTCAGCCACCCGAGCTGCACCCTGCCTGCAGCATCTCCAGCAGAGCCGCGGTGGAGGGTGGAAGCACCAGTCAGCCCCAGAGTGCCACCTAGGTCCTGGCACTTCCTGCCCAAGGCAGGCTCCATTTCTGCCAAGGTCGCTGGACTGTGGGCACCCCGAGTCGTCAACACAACACTCTGAGCAGAGAACACAGAGCGCCTGCTGCTCCCATGCCACAAGGGGCACGAGAGGTGGCAGGTGGGAGGGCCTGGCCTCCTGGGCACGTCCTGAGCGTGGCCAAGGAAGAGCTCACTTACCTTTCTCTTGGTTTTAGGAACCATGCCACTTAGGGAGCCCTCGGTGGCCGTCTCTGCCTGGACCAGGGTGGACATGCCTCTCCTTGGTTTGGGGGACCAGCCCTGACTGGCCCACAGAGCCCAGATCCAGGCTGGGTCCTAGCATCGCCCCATAGCCCTTCTGGATCGTCACGGGCACGTGTTAGGTAGGCAGCTGTGCAGACTGGAGGACGCTGACCACTACCAGCCAGTGGAGCAGCCCCTGCCGGCACCTTCTAGCACAGAGCAAAGAGTTAACAAGCACTCATGGAGCACTTACTGTTTGCCAGATGCTCATCCAAGTGCTTGACATGCACTAACACAATTAATCCTCCCAACCAGCCTATGAAATGGACACCATTACTGTGCTCATTTTATAGATGATGAAACTGAGGCACAGAGAGGTTGCTCAGCTTGCCCTAGATACACACAGCCAGAGAGTAGCGGAGCCAGGTTTCCCTGAGCTGTGACATCTGCCCCTAAGTGCAGCATCAGTGTTACTGTTCAGCATCAATGTTACTGTTACCCCACTTCCCCTGGGTACTACTGAAGCCCAGAGGCTTTGGGAGCAGTTCCGGGTCACAGCTCAGGGAGCACAATGGCTGGGGACTTGGCTCCAGTGGCAGGAGGGGAGCATGCCACGTCCACTTCTCAGGAGAGCCCTGGGTGCCACCCTCTCCCCTCACCATGTGCAGGTGTCTCTGAGCCTCTCCCTCCACAGGGTTCTAGGACCCCATGCCATGAGACGTCCCAGGTTAGAGGTGAATGAAAGAGCCAGGTGTGGAGGACCCTTCAGGAGGGTGAGGGAAGCCATCCCATGCCCACAGGACCTTGGACCCATTTTTAGGGGATGCTGTCCCAGTACTGGGAGGGTGTGTGGCCCAGGATGCAGGGGCAGGGGGTGGTGGTCCCGTCATCCCCAGCAGGTCAAAGCCCTCCCTAAGCCTCAGTTTCCCATAAAACGACCCTTAACTCCAGCCTTGCTTCTTCGGGGAACTCTGAGGAGGGACAAGAACATGTCTGAGAAGACTGCTTTGCACAAAGAGGCAGGAAGCGTGGGTGTCCCCTTCCCTTTCTAGAAGAAGCCCCAGGCAGGCTTGGCAGCGCAGAGTGCTCCCCCAGTTCCTCCTGGTCTTGTGAGCCTCTTCCACCACAGGGGAGAAGGGAGCCGTGAGCAGACTGCAGCTCAGCCCTCTTCTCCGAGGCCCACGATTCCACTCAGGCCGCCACTGGCCATCTCCTCACAGACCTCCCTCCACCAGGCTCATTCAGACAGGCTGCATCGCAGGCATGGAGCCAGCCACCGAGGGCCAGCCCCGCTCACATGGCCTTTGGGAGGCTCTGGGGACACTCGAGAAGGCAGATGCAATCGTCCTGAGCTTCTCACGGGGGCCACAATGTTCACTGGAGACAGCACTCGGCAAGTGCCCCTTCAGGCTCAGCCCTGGGGACCTGGGAGGTGCCTGACGGGATCAGGTCCACCCAGTACAGCAGGACTGTGGCATGGAGCTGGGACACGGAATGGGCAGCCCAGACCAGGAGGGTGTAGATACTCCAGGTGGGGCCGGAGCTCTCCTGAATGACTGGAGCCAGGACAGACAGTGGCACAGAGATTTCAGGAGCTCAGCAACTGAGCAGGGGCTTTCTCAGAGCCTCCCTCCAATGGCCCTGGTCCCCTGTGTCGATAGAACAGTGGACCTTGGGGTTCAGCAACCTCTGAAACGAGCTGCAGATGATTTAGGATGAAGGGTTAAAAAGCACGGATGTATGGTGATTTAATTTGGGCATTCATCACCATCATCATCATCACTCTTTCACTACTGCTCTGGGTCTAACCATCACTGTCCTCACCACTGCCATTACCCTGCCACAACCATCACCACCTCCTCCACCATGATTACCACTACCACCACCATCATCACCATAACCACTACCACCACCACCTGGATCACCACCATCACCACTGCTACCACCACCATCACCAGCACTACCATCACCACCACCACCTCCTCCACCATTATCACCACAACCATCACCACCACCTCCTCCACCATTATTACCACCACCACCACCATCACCAGCACTACCATCACCACCACCACCTCCTCCACCATTATCACCATCACCACCACAACCGTCACCACCTCCTCCACCATTATTACCACCACTACCACCATCACTAGCACCACCATCACCACTGCCACTACCCCCTCCTCCATTATTCCAACCACCACCACGCCCTTCATCATATTTTCCATTTTCCTTTGGCCACACAAGCAAGAGGGTAAAGCTGCCCACGGGTGCCTCTTTCTATTCACTGTCTGCTCCCCCTGTGTCCATGTTCATGACCACAATCAATGAGGTCACTCCACGCTTGATCCTGTGAGGCTGACTGTACGTTCTGACCTGTCGAAACAGTCCCGGCTCAGGCCTGCTTGGTTAGCAATGGTCTCATCTCCTAGATTGCGTGCCACACTCTAGTTAAGAACAATCCAGCTTCTGATGGACCCCACAGGGCCAGCAGTGTAACGATGCTAACCCAGAAGAGAGGGCTTCATTCCAGGACATACAGAGGTCCACCCCACAGTGACTGGTATCTAACGATGTCCCTGCCTCCCCAACCCCCTTCTAGGAAACCACTGAGAAAAGATGAAAATGGCACCAGCATTGCCGAGTACCCCATGAGCTCCTCCCAGAGCAACAAAGGGGTGGACGTGAACAGTGCGGTGGTGTGAGTCTACCCCTAGGCCCAGACCCGATGGCCACAGGGACACCTTGGAGGTACTAGTGGACATGGGAAGCCAAGTGGACACAAGCTGACTCCAGGCTTGCCCAGGACTCCATTGTCTTGCAGGCTTCGGGCCTTCTGAGGAGAACCCACCCTCTTCCCAGGCCAGCCCCGGCCAGCCCTCAGGCAGGGGCTGCGTGGACATCAAGCTGAGCCTGGCCCCTGCATGCAGCGCTGGGGCAGCGTCACACCCGAGGCTTCCACCTCCTCCTCATCTTATATGTGGTCCCCTGACTGTCCCCCAGCTGCTACCTGAAGCACGCACTCTGAGGAAGACAGAGGGTCTGCCTGCTGGGTTGGGGAGGTGCCCCCTCTTTAGCTAAAAGAGAAGTGATCCAAAGCCCGCCCCAGGCCCCGAACCCCTCCTCCAGGAAGCCCACCTGCTTCTCTGTGAACATCCCAACAGAAGCCATCGACACAGCCATGAGACAGACGTCCCCTTTCAAAGGTGCTTCCCACCCATCTGTCCTTACCCCCCTTCGATCATCTTCAGTCTTCCCGGCCTGCTCCACCCTCCGTCCCCAGCCACACCTGGGTCCCGAGGTCCTGTCTGCCTGCCATGGGGTGGTGAGCCCCACCTGCAGATCCCCTAGGAGCAGCCGGAGGGGCTCGTCCACACTGAGGCGGTGTGTCCCAGGAGCCTAGGCCAGGCCACGGCCGCGGCCCCTGCACCTGCTCCCAGCCCCACACCTGGCCCCACAGGAACGAGCCCCGGTGTGAGCCAGGCCTTGCCGCAGAGGCAGAACCACCACACGTGCAGATCCTCTGTGTCCCCCAGAGTCTCCCGAGGCCTGACCATGGCACCCAGACCCTCTCCTGAGAGTCCCCAGAAAGAGGTGTTTCTGCCCAGTTTCTCCCTGGGAATGTCTTCTCTGGGTCCCGTCCTCTGAGAGTCTCGAACCCTCCTGAGGGTGGGAAGGAAAGGGAGGGAAAGGAGGGACCCTCCAGGCTCAGGGACCCCCAGCCCTGCCAGCTGTTTCCAAGATGGTCACCTGCCCTAGGGGGCTCATGGCTGCGCCCTGGGAGGCCTGGAGATTGTGCATCCCTTGATGGTTAGGAGAGCACTGTGACCCCATGGCTCCCTGTGTTGCCCCCACACTTGCTCAGAAACTACTGGCCGTGTTCAATGGCAGCACCCACTGGCCTCGTAGGGATTAACTGGTTGCACCTGCTTTGCCACTTAAGTCACCACTGAGCTTCTCTGGCCAGTGTTTGGGCTGCAGGTGAGACTTTCAAATCCAGGTAAGACTGTCAGCCGTGAAAATCAGCCCCCATTTGGGCTGAAATGTCATTGTCCTGGAGCCCATGTGCCCCTGGAGCCGTGAGCCACTCTCCTGCCCCAGGCTGATGGGCACAGCCCTGGGCATGCCCTCCCATGGGGGCCTTGTCTTCCTTCCCCGTCTTGGCTTGAGGACTTGGCTTGGGTTTGGACCTGGATCTCGCTTCCCCAGCACCTAGGCATTGGCACAGGGCTGCCTGTGGCCTTCATGCTGGCTGCCCCTGTGCAGCACTCTAGGGACACAGTACTTGGTGACAAGCAGGCCAGAGGAATAGGGGCAGGGAAGGTGAGAATGCAGCAGATCCCCCAGGGCACATCCCCATGGCCTGCACCTCCTGTGGTATGCAAGCCGCCGGTGTCCTGAGCAGATGCCTAGGCAGATGGGCCCTAAACTCATGCCACCTGGCCCCGCGCTACTCAGAAGCTCCAGAGCCATGGGAGGTACCTTCAGCTGGAGGGAGGCCTGTGGCTACAGGGTCCTGGAAGGCTGGACCAGACCCAGGGAGGTTCAGCATGGTGCAGCTTTCCATGCCCATCAGGTACCACTGTCCCCAACTTTGGCTCAGGCCTAGCCCAAATTTGACCTTTGGCCTACAGGAACCGTGACTGAGCTGTCTGTTGTGCTTTGGCCTCTGAGACATCCAGGGCTCGGGTTGGCACGTGAACCCCCTCACCTTTGCTTGTGAAATCCCTTCTTGCCCAGGGAGAGAAAACCCAGGAGGAGCCCCCCCTTGTCAAAAGAGTTCACTGGAGAACAGCCCCCCACCCAGGGCTGGCCGTTCAGAGGATACACATTGCAGAGAGTGAGGCCACCCGAAATTTAGCCCTAAGACCAAAGGGCATGTGAGCTCAGGACGTTTTGCTTTAAAATGGATCTGTGGTGCTCAATGCAGGCCCATCCTCAGATGAGGCTGGACTCTGAGGCCAAGGAGGAAACGCATGCTCCTGAGCATTTTCTCAGATGTCTTCAGCCATCTTGATGGGGAGAAAACCAATGGCATTTAGGATCTGCCGGAGTCATCAGGTGTTCCTAGAAGCTTCTAGAGGAAGTTTGGAAAGAAAGACTAATAGGTGTAAAAATATAGACATATATATTATATATAGTTATATATATTTAAAGAGATATCTATACATATATATATATATATATAAAATTACTATACTCGGCATCTGTACAAAGTATGATTTAAGCAGCCCAGGTAGCATCAGACACGTAATGCATGAATGTAAATATCCTGAAACTGCCTTCTTAGCAACGTGCCGTGTGTACAGGGGAAAAGACCTGTCCCTTGGGGTTCTGTCTCAATGGACAGATGTACAAGTTGAAGCTGTCTTGTCCACCAACAAGCCATAATGCCAATTTCATGCTGAGGCTTCTGTATAGGAAGTGGGACCACCTGCAGCCTTGGGGTGGGGGGCACCGTAAGCTGCTTATGAGGAAGGAAGCACCGTGACTTTTTTATTTTCAATAAAAATATACTTATAAAGATGGCTGTCAGTTGTCATCTATAGTAGGCACTTGTCCCTGTGTGTGGGGTGGAAAGGAGAGGGCGGGCCAGGCAGAGGTTCTGCTCAAGCCCAGGGCTCCATGGTACAGTGTGTGTCTTATCTCTCTTTTATATCTTAACACCTGAGATCAATATTCTGAGATAAAATCAGAAAGGTTCTAGGCAAATGGAAGAAGCTGGTCACCCCAACTTGGCAAGTGCTCATGGGAATCACCAAGAGCAGGAGTTGACTGGCTACACTGGGGAGCCAGGAGTCAATCTGCAGCTAGTGTCCACCTCCCAGTGTGTCCAGTCCTGTGCCCAATTGTCAGTGCCCCACAGTGTCCCCAGCCACCTTGTTGCATGGAGTCATGGCCTGCCCCGTCCCACCAAGCAGAGGGGCCAAGACAGCATGGTCCCATGCTTGCCCACCCCTGGAGCATGACCGTCTGTGGGCGCCCATTCACCCCCAGCCTCACACCCAGGAAGCCCCACTTCCAGCTCAGGAAAGCAGCTCTGCCTGGATGGGCCCCAGCAGCCGGGACGCGGGAAGGCAGAGGAAACCGGAGTTGTGCCACTTTGTCCTTCCTGTTGGTAAGTGAGGCGGCGGGTCAGAGTGGAAAGGGAGCACTTAGATTCCAGTGAACGGGTGGGCTGTGTGAAACCCGAACCTTCAGCCCGACCCTCTATACTTGAGGGGACCCCAACCTAGATCGTGTCATCACAGTTGGGGCTCCACTGGGCTCCTCTATCCCCACCTGGGTTCCCCACAGCATCAGTTAGTGACTTGGAAAAGGCCTTCCTGCCTGGAGTGGGGGAAAGATCTCTCCCCATCTTGGCCACAGCCCTGGGGTGGTCAGGGCAGGGCAGGGACTCGGGAAGGGCCCACATTCTGGGCATCAGGGATGTGAGGGGAGTCGTGGAGCTTCCCACTAGAGCCCCAAGGCACCTCTCAGTAGTGTCCCCAGCACACCTGGATCTGTGAGGTGTAGGCACACAGTGGAAGGCAGCTGTCCCTTACAGTCACTGTCTCTGCCACAGTCAATACAAGTAGTTTGTGCCATCCAGGCTGGAGTGACAACTGCTGTCCCCTGACCACCTACATGGGCCATGCTTTGGGGCCATGCTTTGGTGCCGTGAGGGCCAGTGGGACACTCAGGCCTCACACACAGTCCTATGCACCCAGAGCCCACTCAGAGGCCGGCAGGGTGGAGGCAGGAGCTGTGGGGGGAGGGCAACGCTCTGCCAGCCTGGGAGGGAGGAGGGGCTGGCCTGGGGTGCCCCAGCACCAGCTCCCCAGGGCCACTTGTCTGATGCCCAGTACAGCCAACTACATGCCCCCTGCCTTCTCTGGGGCCCTGCTGCCATAGAAAAGCAGGAGACCCAGCAGGACCCACAGGGCAACCTGCCTGCCACCTGGAGCAAGGTGGGATCCCTGTCTTGAACCCCGGGGGCCGTGCAGGGACGCTCCTCCTCCTTCCCACAGGACAGAGACCTGCGAGGCTGGGAGAGCCGAGTGGCTGGACGCCAGCTGGCTGTCAGCTCACTGGTGTAGCTTCGAGTGGCCTCACCTTTGGGCACTGATCCCACCCAGCTAGTGACCCATCCTGCTGGGGCACCCACATCTTCTCCTCCCCCATTCCCTACGCTGTCCCCACCTGGCGCCAGGTGCCTTCCTGCCTCTTCCACAGCAGCTCTCAGAAAGAATCTGACCAAGCACTCAAGCCCTGGTAGATGCCCTGTCTCCCTTCCCAGATGTGCCCAGCCAGGGCTCCCGGCCCGTCTGCTATGCAAGTTGCCACCCCTCTCCCTGTCCTCTGCGATGGAGCAGGCACTCTTCACACCTCTGCCCCTGCTCCCCAGGCTCTCCTGTCCCCTGGGCCAGTGTCCTCAGGCATCTGGTGTCAGCTCTCCTTTATTTGTTCCTTCATTCATTCATTCAGTTCCCAACACGGAGCATCTGCTCCCGCCAGGTGGCACATGGGACACTGGGATCCAGCTCTCCCAGCAGAGGCCTCAGCTGGAAACTGCAGAGGCTCAGCTCCTCAGAGCAGCTCATCCCGCCTTGGCCTCCAATCTGCCTCCAGGCGCCCTTCCACCCACCCTGCTCCTCTAGCAACACCCACTGACTTCCAGTCCCCTGTCCACCTGCCCCAGGTTTCTCCTCTCCCCACCGGATCACTGTCTGCCCTCCTGAACTCCCTCAAGCACCCCTATTGGCTGTGGTGGACCCATCTCTTCCACCATCTTGGTCTGGCTGCTCTAGGTAGGCCCTGCTGCCTCCCCAGTCCCATCCCTGTCATAAGCCCCATAGTCCGGTCAGCCTCCTCTGCACCCTATGCCCACTCCCTGGTTGGGTTTTGCGGTCCCTGACCAGTTTGCCCCTCCAATCTGGGTGGCCACATCACATTTGCTGCCCAGGTGGCTCTATAGGCTGTCTCCATCCTGAGCACCCGGCACACACACCCACACATGCACAGAGCTGGAGTCACTCCCCCTGGGGTGGCACAGTCTTGCACACACAGCTTTCATGTTTGGCCCTCTCCTGTGGGTGTTCCCTGTTGCCTCCCCCACCCCGTCCCGCCGCCGTGAACCTGCCAGCACGAGACCCTCTGTCAGCTGATACCCTAGGTGCTGATGGGGGACCTGTGCAGTGTCCTGGGGATACAGAGGGAAACAGGACAGGGCCTCCCCTTCAGACACAGGGTGGGGGTGGTTATGGGTCTGCAATGTGTACAGAGATGGTGACAGCAGACAGAGACCAAAGGGACACCCAGGCCAGCTCCTCAGCACATCTGTGCCTGACTTCTCTGAGCCTCCCTCAAGCCTCAGAGGCACAAAGTTCACCCTTATCTTACAGAGAGCAAGCAAAGGCCCAGCGACATGAGGGGCTGAAAAGGACCAGCAAAGCAGGTGTAGCAGAGCCACATTTCAGGCCCAGCCCGGTGGCCACAGCTCGAGGTTTTTCAACCAGGATGGGCCCTCAGAGTTCAAAGGCTCCATTCCCTGCAGATGGGCACCCAAGTATCTTCCCAGCCCCAGGACATGCAGTCAGGGATTCCTGGACCCAAGTGATCATTCTAGATGGAACTTCTGGCAAAGCTCCTTCCCTCTCAGAGCTTCAGTTTTCTCATCTGTAAAATGGGGCCATGGACTTGGCTCACTCCTGCCCTGATTTCTACCTTGAGTCTTTCTCTGGCCACGACTAGTCATTCTGTGTTTTGTCCCCTTAGTTTTTATCAGTATAGCACTTCCACCACCAAAGAATTATTGTCGGGCTGCTGCAAGCTTCTGGTCTTTCTCCTCCTGTTAGAATGAGCCTCCTCCAGTGTTTGGTCTTACTCATTACCAAATATCCAGCCTCCTGCAAACATCTAAGCATGCCTGGCACAGAATATTTGTTAACTTAAGTATAATTTAACACAGTATTCACAGGCATAAAGAAAATAATGTAGCATTTTATTTCACATAGCTATAGTCCCCGCCTCCTTGGGGTGGGGTGCGGGTAGAAAAACCTGGATTTTCATGATGGTATTTTGGCTTCTTCCTGTCTCCCTAGTAGCTTCTGGATGACTAGGTTTCTTGTAGGTAGATGCTTAGTCTTGTGTCCCCTCCAGGAAGCACCCACCATGTGTCCCTGAGCAGGCATCTGTCCGTCTGGCACGGGGCAGCTGGCCTCAGGGCACATGGTGTCTTCCAAGTTCTCGCAGGTCCCTGCTTCTGGGGGCTGGCCTGGCTTGCTTCCCGCACAGGTGACAGTGGGCTGTGCCTCGACCCTTCTGGCCTTTTAGGATCTCTGGCTGGCCCCATGCTCTGGCTGAAAATGTCCAGCTCTGGAGGGTTCACCCTCCTGATTGTGGTCTTTGCCCATCTTCCTGTTCTCTCAGCACCAAATCCTTGGGGATTTCTGGCCTCTGCCCACCTGCACAGGCCAGTGGAGGGCTGTAGACACTGCTGTTTTATGTGCCACTGTCCTCTGGGCCTCTGGGATTCATTTCCGAATGAGCAATGCTACAGCGTCCTCAACCAGGAGGGAAGGGAAACATGCCCACCTGGCCTCCCGGCCCAGCCCGACACTTCTCTCCCTTCCCTTTTGCAACAATCCACTAGGGTCCAGAAGAAGTGGGCTCTGCACCCTCAACCTGACTGGCCAGAACTTTCCTCAATCCTCGCCTCTTCCTGCCCCACACTGTCCATGGAACAGAATGGGGCACACAGTATCCTGGAGAAGAATAAAAAACATATCCATTTATTATTTTCAAAATATTATCCCCATTACAAACACAATGATGTGCCCACACCGTGTGAAGTCCAAATGCCAACACAACGTGCCACACGGAGGAGGATTTCCCAGTTGCTCATTCAGACCCAGAAGCGTGGGGGGAGCCTTGAGTCACCGCACGAAGTGCAGCAGCGTGGGAATGCCACACGCGAAAGAACTGGAGCCAAGTGCCCATCGCAAGCTGTGATTCCATGTCAGCAAAACACAGCTGTCACATGCCATTGCAATTTGGAGAATAAATGGCTGCATGAAAGCAAGGCGAGGATCACGGAGCCGGGCGCACAGAGCAGGAGCGCTCCAGGAAGGCTGGCCCTGGCTCTGTCACCCCCACTCTGTGCTCAGTCCCCGAGAGGCATCGCTCCCAGTGCTCCTCCAGGGCAGGGGAATCATGCCTCCGCTCTGCAGCTGATGAAACAGGCTTAGCAAGATCCAGCGACTTCCCTGTGGTCAGAGACCAGGTCACAGACAAGTCCAGGTTCCCACCCAATGCAGCTGGCGCCAGCTTCAACCCACAGGCCAAGGGCTCCGCACACCCTGCGGTCTGCCCAGTTCCCACACCCTTGCCCTTGCTGGCCTGCAGGACTGTCCTCACCTGGAGAGCGCTGCAGTCCTTCACACTGGATTAGTTGCTGGTTCACTTCAAGGGGCAGAAACCCAGCAGCCAGCAGCCCCTTGAGGGGGTCCCTCCTCCACTGGCTGCAGGGGGCCAGTCTGCACTGCATAATTAAAAAGCCACCTCTTCCAAAATTTACTTGGCTTCCACAAATGTCCTGTGCACCCTGGAGGGCACAGTAGGGCAGGGCTCACTTTGGCCCATACATCTGACCCTCCCTAGCAGGACATAGAACCTTCCCTAGCAAGGCCCCCAACCACCATGGTGGTTGGGGCAGAGGAGCGATTCAGGGACCAGGGGCTCATGTGGGACTGACAGCACTGCTCCAAGCCTGACTTTGCGCCTGAGTTTCTGGCTGAGTGACTCTGGATAAATCCCTTCCCCTCTGGCGCTTGTGAGTGAGAGGTTAGTTTAAATCACGGTAGCAAACTCACAGCCTGTGGGCCAGTGGATGGATGAGGGAAGTTCTCAGGCTTGTGAACCTGCCCAGAGGTCCCAGAACCTCTGTTGAAAGGCTGTGGGGTTGGTTCTTCCTTCTTCAGAGGCCAGGTCAGTGGCAGGACTGAACCAAGCTGGAGCCAGTGAGCTCCACCTTTCAAATCGAAAGGATATATTACAAATTTAAGCCTCTCAAACAAAATGTGCTGTGGTCAGGCTCAACCGCAGGTTGTCAGTGGTGAATTCTGGACTATGAGGTCCTAAGTTACCCTGGCGGTCACACGAGTAGTGAAGGACTTTACTCAGTACTCAACTACCAGTTTATGGATAGCTTCAGAGGCAGACACACCAGATTCAAATGCTGCTCTCTCTCTTACAGAGTAACTCCTGCAAATCTTCCATTTCTATGTGCCTCAGTTTCCTCATCTTTAATATGGAGTTGATAACAGGAGTGCCCACTCACGCCATCCTGGTGAAGATTAAGCTACCTACTATATTGGAAGTGTGTGATGTGTAGTAAGCTCTCATAAGTGGTAGCTATAATTAAAGCTCATTAAGGGCAAATTCTTTAGGGCAGAGTGAACTCTCAATAGGTCGCAAATCAAATAGAGTTCACCATCAGAATCTTCAATTCATACAACTTTATTCTTTTGCATAAAACTATTATATTAATTGGGAGACTAAATGGGATTTAAATTGTGATCCATAATCTTTTCCATATAAATTAACTCTTAATGAAAGGAGAAAAATGCCTTTGTCAGATGAAGTGACTGTGGCTGGATTAAAATTTAGAGATACCAATACAATTGACCTGCCTCCAAAAAGCTCTCAGATTTCTCTACCCCATGCTCTTGGCACACTGCAGCTGAAAGATCCCAGCATGAGAATAGAGAAGTTTAAGCCTTGCAATATAGGAACAGAGAAATTCAAGTTTTGCACACAGACCACAAGATGTTCTAACAGATAACTTGGAGGAAGTAGGCTTGAGCAAACGCTTAAGCAAACGGGGAACAAGGTATAAACAGGAACAGAAAGGATGAACAGTAGAGACAGGGTGGAATCTTAGGGTTTTTCCGAGAACATAAAGTGGAAAAACAAGTTTACCCCCCAGGTGACCTAAAGGCTGGATTCAGAGGAACCAATAAAATGACTGTTACTGTGCTAAGCTGAAAACTAACCCCCTACTCCCTATAAAAGATCTGTACCCTAAAGCCCGGTGTGCCAGTCACCGAAGCTCCGGCTGAGGTATTGCTGTGCACCCACAGGCGCCTGTGTAAGAATAAATAGCCTCCTGCTTTTTGCAGCCAGTGTCTCGCGTGGTTCATTCCAGGTTAGGGATCTGTGGATCTTTCACAGCCAAAAGACCCTAGAACTGAAAAAAATGAAAGGGAAATGAGTGTTTATCTGGTGAGGTCCTGACTTGGAGCCTGAGGGCCTTTGGGTCCTAATGCTACTGTTGGCTGCATGATCTTGGATAAGGCACTTCACTTCCCGGCCTCTGTTGTCCCACCTGCAAAACTGGGAAAAGTAATAACATCTATCTCACACAGGGAAGTGGGGTTGAGGGGTGAAGACAATGCATGTAAAGTGCTTGGGACCAAGGAGACGATCCACAAATGGTGGCTATTGTGGTTTCTCTTGATTCCCTTTCATGAGAGGCTCACACTTGCTCCTAGCAGCAGAAGGAACTAGACAGCCTCTTACTTGTAATACCTCAGCATCTTCCAAAGGGTTCAACTTTCATAAAACCATGGTTTGGTACCATTCCATTGAGTTCCAACCACTCCATCCTTCTTAAGAACCTACCATTACTGTCAAAACATCCAATTTTCCCAATAAACATATTTGCAAATTATTAAAGGAGTATAATAAATTATCTGCATTGTCCAATTAATGAAAGAGACCCTTCAATCCCAGCTCATGGAAGAGTCTTAGTGGATGATCCATCTTCTCTGATCCAATCCAATCTTATTTGGCCTGCTGTAGCTTGGAAATGGTGATAAAGTTGCAGCAACCACTTGGCTTCAGGTGACTCCTAGGGAAGAGATTTGCTGGAAACTTTCCAATGTGTGGTGAAAAAGGCATGTTTGCAAAGAGTTGCATACAATGGAGGCAGGACACTCTTGGCTACGGACCATCTTGTAGGACTTGATTCTGAATCATTGGCTGAAAAGAACCCAAATGAGCCTGTAGTTGTGAGTTGTCCCCTTGTGTGATCTTCATAAGGTAGCACCAGTCTTCCCAGAGGTCCGTGGATTCTGGCACAGTCTCCCAAGTACCATCACAGTCCTTTGCCCATTTGAGCTTTTTATCACCCCAAGGCAATTGGTAAACAGCTCCATTTTACAGATACGGAAAAACAAAGGTGCAGAGAGGTTTAATAACTCGTCCAAGGTCACTCAACTAGTAAGAGGCACGCCCACTGTGAAAAATCATGAAGAATGGAATCTCCGTATTTGGAGATTTGGGCTCATTCCACTTTTAGGAATCTCAGAATGTCCTGTTCACACTCTGAAAACAGAAGATTCCATGAGGGAAGGAAAACTGTGTCTATTCCTCAGCCCTTCTCCAAGCCAAAGTTAGTACTGGCCAAACCTGGATCAGGTAAAATTTTGTTGGGGTCTCTTTTTGCCCTGTGCCTTGCTTTTATGGCTGCCACTGGGCTGATGTGAGGTTTAGTGGGAGTTACCATAAGAGGAGGCTTGGAACAGTCTTTAGGGGTCAGACAGCCTAGGGTCTAGTCTGGGTTCTGCCCCTTAAAGCTATGTAACCTTGGACAAGTACCTCTCCTTTTCTAGGCTTTAACATGAGAATGAAAATTAATAATCAATAACTTTTGTTGAGTGCTTGCCACATGCCAGGTGTTACCTTAAGCTCTTTTTTTTCCTTCTTTCATCTTTTCTTTGCATTCTTTCAACAGCCCTATGAGGTAGAATGTGTCACGGTTCCTATTTTCAGATGAGGAAACACTAATAATAAAATTTTAAAAACCCTGAACTGGTGGGAAAAATATTTCTATGCAGAGTTTCAGCTCAGCGTTCCTCAGAGGCCTTCACCTGGGCTGGGGCCAGCACATCTCCTTTCAAGGGTGAAATGGGAATATTTTAGGCTTTCTGGGCCACAGTCTCTTGCGAATCATTAACTCTGTCATTGTAGCCTGCCAGCGGCCATAGATAATATGCAAATGGCAGCTGTGCTTGCTTCTATAAAACTGTACAACCCAGGCAGTGGGCTGCATTTGGCCTGTGGTCTGTAGTTTGCTGGTCCTTGACCTAGGTGAATGGCTTCTCCTACCTGTTAGGGCCAATCCTGTTAATGTGCCTTACTTCCCCTCTCTTCCTGTCTTCTGTCTTAAAAGTACCTGAGCCCAACTTGCTGGAGGGCTGACCTAAAGGAACAATGGAAGATGAGGATACAGGAAATCTGTGGACACTGCACAGACTAGGGAAGCTCACTGGTACTATCAGCCAGTGAAGTGACAACGTGCTGGCAGGGACAGAACCGGGGTCTGATTGGCAGAGGGGTCACAGTTCTTGAGGGCACAGAAGGAGAGAGACTTGCCTGGGTGAAACCGAGCCCCCAGATGGTGATTGGGATAAAGGAAACAGGTCCAGACAGTAGAAAGTATTAAACGGGGCCCAGGAGGAGCCCTGTGTTAAGGGCTCATCTCCACCTCAAGGAGAATGCAAACGCAAAGGAAAGCGGGGACAGAGACCTGGAAAACACAGGGCAATGGAGATGGGGCTGGAGAAAAACCTCGGTTCATGACTAATGGTAGAATGGGGCCACCAAAACCCAGGCCACCTGGGGTGGGCCAGGCACAAAGCTAACCAAGAGCCAGGCCTGTGGCTGAGCCCAGGTAAGGGGTCAGCAAAACCCCTCCCTACCAGGGAAAGCAGTCAGGGCCTCATCCTGTAGCCTGCTTCTGGAACCTTCTTCAGGAATCCTTGCACAAAAAGAGAATGTCACAAGTTGGCCTTTGCTGAGCCCACTGGGCATGTCAAAAAAGACCTGGTGCTTCACTGAATCCTTTCCAATGTAACAGACATTAATTATCATTAAACACAGACTGCCAGAGCCTGGCTGCACAGACACTGCACATACTCTCAAAGCTGTCACTTTAAAAGTGAGATAAACAGATGCACAATTTACTGTACCACAAGACACAACGTTCACAGAAGCACAGCCAGGCTCCACTGGGCCTATGTGGGAGGCCCTCCTTTCAGCAGAAATGTTAGTAAAATGCTCAGGAAGATCATTTCTATCTGTGCTCCTAATACAGGGCCCAAAAGTTCCCTGCAAGTTTTCATAGAATGAACATCTACCACTCTGTCTTTCTAGAACTCACATGAAACACTCACACTGCTAAGGCCTCATTTTCCTTAGAGAAGCATGAAGGTAACAGACCTCCCTGAAGAAAAGGGAGGCTCTCCCTAACCAAAGTTGGGGGGGGGTGGGGAGAATGCTCTCATGCCCTTCAAGTCCTCTGAGAGAAGGGACTTCAAATCAGTATTGTATCTAACTCACCAAATTACCTGAAAGAAAGCCTCTTCCTCTTACTAACTGCAAATTTAAGAAGTTAGAAGATGTAAAATTTAGAAGAAATGGCTGCCAGGAACTAAACTCTAGCTCTATAAACTGATTTTTAAGAAACCCCAGGCTCACAAAGATAATAAAAAATGCATTTAATAGCATGTCAATATACAGTTTAAATGTGTAGTAAGTCTTCTTTTAAGTCAGTGCATTACAGGGATAAAGAGGAGAAATTTCATTTGGAATGCACAGCCAGATGCGAGGTGTGCGTGGTGGGGATCTTGGTGCTCTCACACTACTAAAACTCCGTGTAGAGGTGTCACTCCAGTGCTGTGCTCTGTGCCAATCAATGCAGGACTCGTCTGGTCCAGTATGAGATCTACAGCTTTAAGTCAAATAGTATACAAGTATTAACCAAAGAGTAAAATTTATTATTCACAAAACTAAAGTGGTTATCATAAAGCTTACAAGAAAGTACAGCCTAAAACTAATGAGTTGAAAAACTAGTTTTAAAAATAATAAAACTTACTGGACAGGTTTGGAAAATGGTATTATAAAACAAAGAAAACAACTGGCATAGTTTGACCACCTAATTTCTAAGTGCACTTTGTAACGTTCCTTGCAAGCTGCCACTTTTCCCAGGATAATGACAAAAAAGCTTCAGTCAGGTGTCACTGGCTTATGGTGACAGGTTTTTGTTTGTTTGTTTGTTCTTTTTTTTTATTGCATTGCCAAGAGTAGATTTTAAGAAAAAACACTACAAAGGTTTCAAAAACCCTATTTATTCTCTATCATCAAAAATAGCAACAGGGGGACTTATACAACTTTTCTGTGAGTACCCACCAGTCTATTTTTTTTTTCTTAAAAAAAATAGAAGTTAGTTAAAGAAAAATGATTTGGTTTTTAAAAAATAATGTAAGGAAACACTTAATCAGATAGCCCAAGGAGTCATCAGAAATATGTGTAGCAAGAAAGCGTCATTGTGGCCCTCTCCGGCCTTTGCACGTCTTTTACTAAACTAGGAAGAGGATGTACAGTACCAATATGTCCCCAACCTGCTTGGATCGAATCGTTTTGTTTTGAAACCCATTATTGCTAAACCAGAGTGTTGTCACTGAGAGCCGAGGAGTCCACTCATAGAGGATAAAATTGAGAGGCTGCTTCAGAGGACTGGATCTCCACCTGGGCCATTTTGAACTGGGTGCACTGCAGCCACTTGCGGAGGGCCACCAGGCCAGCACTGCTCTGACCTGAGCCCGGCAGCGTCCTTAGGCTGTGGTGGTTCACATGGTTCTGAATGGCCTGGAGGCGAAGCTGGAGGCCCGCAGACAAGTGCTGTTAAGAAAAGACACAATGTTAGCTCCTTCCTGCTGGGGCCCAGGCAACCCCGGAGGATCGGATGGCTGGGGGCTGCTCTGCAGGCAGGGCCCCGCTCAGCTCCAGGGTTCTCTGGACTAAGAAGGGAAGCTCTCAAATCTAGCAATACTCAGGGTGGGGGACATGGGACAGTCCCACTTCCAGAGTCACAGTAGCTCAACTCCATCCAAATAATGATATGCCCGTCTTGACTGACTCTGAAACAGGAAAGCAAAGCTGACAAACCAGTGGCTGGGCTGACACTTGCGCTTGTCTCTAGCAGCTATTCACCACACAGGCCTGGCTTTGTGGTTAGTGCCCGACTCCCTGGCTTCACATCCTGATCCTTGGCTCATCAATCTGGGTCAGGGGTTCCTCCAAGGCAGGGGTGGAGGTGGGAAAATAGTAACACTTCCTTCAGGGGCTTCTGTAAAGCCCAAGTGGGTTGCAGAGTGTTAGAGGATATGCCACGGTGGGTGCCCATTACATCTTAACATATTACAATCTCTGTCCTCATGTCAGGGCATGGAAAGGCCAGGCAGACAGTTCTTCTTCCTTCTCCTAGCTCCTCAGCAAGTCGTGCAGGCCTCTTCAGCTCGTTCTGTGAAGCAGAGGAACAGTAGCTCTGATGCTTCCAGGGGAGTATGGGCTACTCCGCTTTCCACAGGGAAAACTAGTGCCTGGTATGAAAGAAGGTCTCCCACACTGCAGATGCCCTGCACGGCCAGTGGCCACAAATAGTCCTGATGCCACCATCAGGACACAAGGCTGCCAGCACTGTTGACAGCTGCCTGCCCTCTTTCTATGCCGGCAATTGGTCAGGCTCCCTGTGACCCTCTTTCTTCCCCAACTTGGAGGGGAAATCCAGCAAGAGAGCTGCTGGCCTCCCCCCAGCCTCCATACTCCTACACTGTGATGTGGTGGTCTTGGATGGAGTAGGTGGTTGGCTCCGCCAACTTGCTGTCAAGCCCCAGGAACTACATTTGCTAGCCACGAAGTATGCTTACAATGACAGGACATCACTCCAGGTGAGGCCTTGGATTGGGACATAGATTTGGTCATGGTCTTCCCCCTCCAGGCTGTGGGACCTTATCCAAGTCCCTCTTCCTTTTGGTCTCATATGTCCTCATATATAAAACGAGGGGATAGGTTCCTTCTAGCTCTATGTGGTCACTCACTCAATGTTCTTAACAGAATTTTGCCCATCACAGAAAATCAATCTTAGTGGTCAGGAAACACCACTAACGTGCTTGGGACCAGGTCCCATGGGTATCCTCCGAGGACAGGACAGCTTTGGGGCCTGCATTCTAATCAGGGGACTGAGCCTTGCCCAGACCCAGGGACGCACCCTCCACCTGCATCCTCATCAACAGTGAGCAGAGGGACAGAGGCTCCGGCTGTTGTGCTCTATCTGTGGGCCCCCTACCTGGTCCATAGGGTCTCCTGTATTATCAGCCCTAAGACCAGGAACAGGGTGAATTCCTCTTTCCTCACAGTAAGAGGAATGTCAACAATTGCTATGAATGTTCTGATGTTTACCGGAGAGAACAGCTTCCAACTGGCCCAGAGGTGACTTACCTTGATGTTCGACTGAATCATTGGCAACCACATAGGTATCAGCTGCACAGAGAGAGACAGAAGCCTCATTATTATTGTTCTCCACTTTCCCACACAGGCTTCCATGATTGCAAGGGAGCACAGCCCATGCTGGAGCTTTTTATACGGTGCGCGGAAGCAGCCCCCACTGCGCAGCTCTCAGTCCCCAGCAAAATGTCTTTCTCAGGCCAAACCCCACTGAGCCAGTGGCATTTGGAGGTTAATAAGCACCCCGAGAGTGCCTGAGACACACACTTTAGAGCAAATGACTGTCTCTTGAAAGCTACCAAACACAGGAAATTAAATGTGTATTTATTTAATTAAGCCCTCACTTTCTTGAAATAAAATTTCCTCTATGGGCTCTTCAGAACTGAGTCTCTGAGAGGAATGGGGACTCTTCTAGCCTCTAGTCATTAGAAGATACCACTGGGCAGCAGACAGAATCCTCCAGTGATAGAGAAGGCACCCCTGGAGGTGCTGGCTGTGATTTGGAAGGGACAATTCAGCAAGATGGAGCTGGTCATCTGTAAAATGTGGGTGTGCACATAGGCAAGCAGCAAGTCCCTGCTGGGGTGACTAGGCTCTGCTGTCCCTCTGATGTCCATGGAGCACAGGAGCCTTGGCCCCACTGCCTCCAGGAGCAGCTTCCCTCTCTTTGCTTTGGTCTCTTGGTCACATTTCAGTCCTTTAAACTATAAGTAAATATTCATGGCCTTGTACAACCAGAAGTCCACAACAGAATGTGACATTTCCCACAGTGGGTTCCACAGAAACCAACCTGGGTGAGGTTTCAATGACACAGGGGACTATGAGCCAACAAGTTTGGAAGTGCTAGTTTACTTCAGAGCTTCTGAGACCTTTAACAAGCTATACATCATATCATTCCATTCCCTGTTCCTTCCAACCTTCTACTCTAACATAGAGTAGGGTTGCTTTGGATTAAATCATGTGTCCACAAAATTCACGCTGTGCCTTGAATTGGACCATTTTTGGAAATGGAGATGAAGATGTAGTTACTTAAGTTGGGGTCATACTAAAGCAGGGTGGACCCCCAATCCATATGGCTGGCATCCTTATGAAGAGGGGAGGCTGGACACAGACACACACAGGTACACTCAGGGAGAATGCCACCTGAAGACGAGGGCAGAGATCCACAAATCAAGGAATGTCAAAGCTCCTCCAGAGGCAGGAGGGAGAGAGGAGCTCAGGAGGGGCCTGCCCTTCCCACACCTCAATCTAGTCATCCGGTCTCCAGCAATGGAAGGAGAGCAGGCTCTGCGGTTTTTGTGACAGAGGCCCTAGCAGGTCGATTCAAGGCCCTCCAGGAAGCAAAGAGAAAGTCTGAGCACAGGTCCAGGTGGGAGTGCACAAGGCAACGAGGGGCAGGACAGACCCACATGGTGCTGGAAGTGAGGTTTACAGGAACATGTCGGGACAAGGAGTTTAGAGAAGCAGAGGCCAGGCCACTAGGAATCAGCCCTCAGATGACTCTGGAGGCCCTGTGAGGGATCTGGAGTTTAATCCAGATCCCTACAACTTCTGAAGAGGGGTGCCCCCTTCACCATGAGCAGGGACAGCTTCTGGGCATGGAGAGAGATTCTGCCTGCAGAGACACTCCCTTAAAAATAAACTTGCTTGAACTGATAAACTGCATTTCTCCCTGTTTTTGTTTCCAAGGCTAAATCTGGCTGTTATTCTACTTTTAACATTCTGTTAAGATATATAGTTGCTAACTTGCATTGACATTTAGTCCTCAACATTCCTAAACACAGTGTTTACCCTGCAGTCAGCTACCACTCTATGGCTAACATAAACACTGTGTTTAGGCCAAGGACCTGAACAGACACTTCTCAGAGGAGAATATACAATCAATCAACAAGTACATGAAAAAATGCTCACCATCTCTAGCAGTCAGAGAAATGCAAATCAAAACCACCCTAAGATACCATCTCACTCC